TGATCTTGTTAGCTCTTCTAAAAAGATTTAAGGCTAGCGAGATCTTAGCACTGAAAGGATGTGCTGAATGGAAATCAATATAACGATTTGAATGCGTCGGCTTTCTGTAAATGGATAGGTTTAGACTTCCATTTGGACTTCTTTTTACTAAGCAATCCAAGAATGGTAGCTCACCATGTACATTTTCATTCGTGAATTTGATGTGCGATGAAAGTGTATTTATTCGTTTTGAAAAAGATCGTAGATGAGTCTTTTTTATAGCAACAAATGTATCATCTACATATCTAAGCCAAATTCGTGGTATAATGTTGTGGGCGAAGATATTTGATTCTATGTATGCCATAAAAAGGTTGGCTACAATCGGGGACACGGGGGATCCCATCGCTACACCGTTAGTTTGTTTGAATAACATACCGTTAAAAGTAAATAGCGTTGAATTTAGGCAAAGTTTTAAGGATTTCATGATTAGACTGATGCTTAACGGACATCTGTCAGGAAGAGTATTGTCGTTCTCAAGTAAACCACTAATGAATTCTAAGCATTTATCAATGGGAACACTTCTGTATAAAGAAACGACATCAAAGCTTACCATGATTTCATTCTTCTCGATGATTAATCCGGATAATTTTGTAATCTGTACCCATGTTTATGTTTAAATCGGGATTTGAACTTGTTACTTTTTGATTGATCAAATATTATTCTTGCATTGTTCCGTTGTACTATTTAAATTTGGATTAATTTAATTTGGTTATTTATTCTCTGAAGAAGTGACTTACACTATGCTGGCTTAATAGTCCGCAATCGAATTGCCGCGGATGTTCACGCCCACCAGACTTCGGCAGTAACTGCCTAATGTTGGCACTCAAGTCTGAAACGACTGACAATATGTTCTGTAGTACAGCATACAGTTTATCAAATCTTAAGAACTTAACTCAGTGGGACACATGACTTACTCGACCACTAACGCACTGCCCACGCGGACATTGAGGGCGACGTGTCCAATTATGTCCAACTAGTTAATTAACATCTTCAAAGTAAACACGCCTACTTGGCGATTGGCGAGATAATGGTATCCAGCAACCGAAACTTAAGATATTGGACGTGTCTGTTTCTAGCCTGGATCTGGGCCACACCCATGTCAACGGAGTTGTAAAGAAACCCTTTTTCCGTTTCAATACACCTCTACGAAATGTTAATAAGATTACTGTACTAACCTCTTCGGCTTCTCATTGGTAGTTGCAGGGTGTTTTCGTCCGTAGAAATGTTGATACGGTAAACATCTAATTTGTTGAAGGAAACCAACAACTCCTTTGCATTCTGGAGACTATCTATAGATAATGATCGTTTCTATGTTTGTAATTCACCGCATTCGTGAATGACCTTACACTTCAGGACTGATCAATTGTCCGTTGGATAGAGACAAAATTCTTTCCCCACAAACCACTGTTTAGCTGCAATCATAAGCTGCCTCTTGCTCGGTGCATCTAAAATTATGTATTGTTTGTTGGCCGGCTAATAGGACATTAGAGGCAAGGAAATGGTTTATGGTAATATCATCAGCAAGAATGAAACAATACATTTACATAAACGTATATAGCAATGGAACAATCGTCATTTCATTCTATGGAACAATCTCTGAATAATTAACACAATTAAGGGCAATACATTTACAGTCAGTATATTCAATGGAAACCCATGTGTGCTCATGACTAACTATCAAGCACATAAATATTCCTGTCACTATAATGGAAGGGTTCTTCGAAGTAATTGCGTAGGTCTGCAAATGACCTAATTTCCATCAATCCATTCTCCCCTTCATCAGTTACCAGACCAGGCTTCCCGTGTACTAGTACCACATTATCTGGCTTAAATAAAGTTATTTTAGTATTCTTAAGCATAATTACTTGTTTCCGTGAGTCTACCCTATCGGTTATCTGTGCACTATAAGTTGAACTGCTAGCTTGAAGCCTGTCACAAAAAGATATCTCCGCATAACGCTGAGCTACTTGTTTGGCTACAGCATACCCACTATGCACTGATTTCTTAATTTGCCTGATATGTGACTCGAATGGGAATGCTGAAAAACAATCTAAAGGTCCATATGCACGAACATCGTCGCGAAGGTGCTGCAACAAATGCACATTGTAAACTAAGTTTTTGGGCCCATAACACCATTCATATTTCCTAAGAAAGTTCAGTAAACCCATTCTGACGGAATTTGTAGCGCTATTACGTAATCTTGGATGTGCTAACGAATAAATCGATGAAGCTAAACGCCTGAAATTAGGGTACAAGGGTTGCGGTAAACTTTGTTGAAGAATTACGGAGCCTAAATATAGAAGAAACAGTCGGTACTCCGTAGCTTTCCATACTGAGATGAAGTCTAATGTGCGGCGTTTACGCTGAAAGTCGGAGGGAGTACTTGCCACGCAACTAGATATTAACTTATTTATATCCCTAAATCCATATGTGTTCATGTTTTTTTAGTCGTTTGTGAGAAAATTCTATCCATAGATTGACTAGTTTCTTCGTCACACCTAAGTATTAGTGATAATGAACATAAAAATAGATAGCACGCCACTCACTTGCATCTCGTAAGTTATTTGTGATGACCACCAAAAATGTCGGAACACTAGTTAAACAACAAAGTTTGGATATATGCATGTAAGGAAAATCCTTGTCTACAAACTTCCCCCAAATATACGATGTAAGGGGGAAAGATCTACATTTTTTTATTATTATTATCAGCTTTATTCAATATTATATTTCTGGTACAATATAGAATTCTCAGCGTAAAGTATTTCAACAAGTTTCCGTTTCTTTCTTCTTGGTCGGTCCTGGCGATAAATATCGAGTGTTCGCCAGTTAGATGTTAGCAGTTCAGTAAATGAACATCTGAATAATGTGCATTCTTTTCGCTGTATATTGCCAGCAACCACATTGGCTCTTATTGAGTTTTTTGTAACTTTGACAACGAAAGGTTGTACATTTTTCAGAAACGCAGCAGAATACATCATGTGATTAATAAACATATTGATATATTAAAACAAATAAAAATAGATAACTTGTTGAAATATCTGGATGGCAGGAACAGGTAGCCCAGATACTCAAGCAAACCCTAAATAACCGACGCAAAGGGGGAAAATCGACTTTCCCCCTTTATTGGTTGCTTCGGTAATTAATAGTGACACGCCGAATTTACAGAAAATCCTTCTTCTCGTTCTCCAAGTTGTTACGTCCAGGCGTTGACTTTCTGCAACCACTAAAATTGTCAAACTTGTAACGTGTGCATTCCCACGTGGTTTTTGTTGAGGATTTATAAATCGTAGCTAGCTGTCAATATTCAGAGGTCGATTTTAATGAATACAGTATACCTGTATTGGAGATTTACTATTATATATATTTTTAAGAGTTTAGTATTTTACCATTTCATGGTTTTCGAAAGATTATATGCCAACCGTCTGTATAATTCCAAATAAATGTTAAGGTATCATGTTTTTTATCTTAAGTGGTCAGTTTAACCTACTTTTTGTTAATATTACTAAATTACAGTTTGAAGGATTTGTTAGGGTAAGCTGTTGAAATTCATGTTCACTTTTAATCACTTGGAAAATATGAAAACGAGTAAAATGTAGTAAAGATTCATGGATATAAGAATATTTCTTCAAACACTGTTCATCGTTCTATAATTTCAGTACTGTAACATCCATATGTATCTTTTCTCTTTAATCCAAAACTTCTGTAGGTATGGATTTCTGCCTGATAAAACAGTTGTTCAGTCTACTGCAGTGATAAATTCGTGTCCTCATCTTTGTAAAAAAAATTAAATTCTTTATTTTGTGTGCATTGAATATAAATTCAAAAGTATTTTGACTCAATTATATACATCTTTCCTTCTAAGTACATAATTGTTCCTTTTATGTGACCCTACGCAATTAATGTTTTTATGTTACTCAAAAATATTAAACCTTGTAATGATTGTTATATCTTAAAATCGGTAGTTTTCTTAAGAACTGTTTCTTTTTAACGTCTTAGAATATGTTGCTTATGAGAGTAGAAATATCAAGATGTGAGTTCTCATTTTATCTTTGATTAATTTGACTGAATTAACACTATTAAGTTCACTTCTGTTTCACTAGTATTGATCATCTTGAATTTGAAGTTGGATTCATATATATGACGCATAAAAAGGATAATGAAACTCCAACTATGTATAAAAACAACGATATTGTACCAGATGCATAAAGATCCACGGGATCAATCTTGATATATCAAAATAATGTCATGGCATTAGTTTTTACATCATACTGCTTTTTCATTACATTAATCGTATATACTTATTTCATGTCAGCCACCTAAAATGTTGATTAGACCACTTACCAATAATAACCGACTGGTCTAAATACGTCTACCAAATAAGCAACAGCTCTAATTTATCGCATAGAAATTTATTTGTGCAACTCAGCGTGTACGGATTTATACAATGGGCTTGTAACCAAATTAGGAATGAACGCTAGTGATGCAACCTGGTTCCTTAGACAGAAGTGAAGCAATGTTTAAACCCATGGTCCATTGGTTAAAAACCAGTTACTGTAATCACTAAGCCATTACTACTTAAGTTTTAAGATGGTCAGAAGTTGCATACTACACTAGCCAGTTATCAAACTATTTAAACAGAGGCAACATTGACAATTTACAATCCCGTAATACAGGAATCCTTGTTTCACAGAAACATACACAAAAACCAACATGCTGATTGGCACTTGGATAATTATTTTGTATGTCCCAATGACTAGAATTATTGGGAAATGGTGTTCCTGAGAGATACAGTATAATGTCATAATAGATTTTAGAAGTTACGCAATTAATAGCTCTTCGATCTGAAGACTTGCTTGTTATTAGAGTGCCGTGTAAAAATGATTCGGTTGTCGTGATATGCGAAAATCTAGACATCTAGTTATTGATATAAACTAGTCCGTACAGGTTGAGCTAAATAACCAAGGGGGGGGGTACTAGTTATTATTATTATTAGTAGCTTTATTCAATATTATATTTTTGGTGCAATCAGGAATTCTTAGCACAAAGTATTCCAACAAGATCCTTTTACAAAACAAAACACCAATGACTGAATATATATACATAGATTAAGTAAATAAACTAATTCGAATTACTGATGATTTACAACAACGTATCACTTGGACGCGTAAACATATTTTTGATTATCTAACAGACTCAATCAAATTTTGAACGTTATAGTAGCTATGCGTAAACTTTGTGATGCAATATTAGCATGTGTTCGTACAATATAGTACCATGAAGAAAAAAAACAAGTTCTATAAACAATCACAGTTGAACTGCTATTTATACACTAAATAACAGAAAATTTCCTACTTTTTAGTTCTTAGTACTGGTGTCTCTGACTACAATACATGGGAAGTATCAGTTCCTTCAAAATTCTGAGTAAGTATTCTTGATGATTGTCAACAAGCACAGGGCTTCGTAACTCCAATCACATAACATTAAAGTGCAACCACTTTAACTGATTTGACACGGAAACACATTTGTTTTACGAGTTAATGTTCCCCAAAGGTAGGGTTTTTATCAACGGGATCTCAATATTAATCTGAGTGGTATCTTGAGTGAAGCTTCACATAAAAAGTATACTGTAGTGTCAACAAAATGAACTCGTTGTATACCCGTGGTGTATTCTTAACTAGCCCGGTTGGATAAGTTGATAGCATTTTATTAACCAGATGACTAGAGCGTTAAAGTATATGTGCTATCAGGTCACGACACACTCCAAGCAGGAAATTCTAGTCCACACACAATCAAGCTATAAATAGCTGGGGACGGAACACAAGGTGGATTAACAATAATCAAGGAATAGTAAGACGTCAAACAGTAATTAGTAAGTTCAGCTGAAGCTTACAACGAGAAGTGTAGGAAGACAATAATTCGGATGCTTAGTAATTAGGCAATAGGTGAAGTGATAATACATAAAATATTTCGTAGTTACAACTTCCCTAGTATTCTCTCCGTTATGTTAGTATACATTCTAAGGTTTATGATAATGCTCTATAAATTAATCACATCAAATATAATAACTTAAAAGACAGGTCATACAAATATAAGCTTATAATCTTGTCTATAAGTTGGGGAAACAAGTAGTACAGTGGGCTATTATGAGGGTGCTGCATATTTTTATTTATAAAGGCTTCAAATTTAGCAATTCACCCCCGTTTTGATCTAACTTGAATATTATTCTTGAAGTAGTGATAGGAAGTACTGTAGTTTATACACAATAATCAGTAATCAAGTAGTATTTTACCGATATCTCCCATAACTGTGAAAAGCCTTAAATACAACCAATGATAGAGCCTAAACTCATTTGCGGCTAGGTTGATACTTTTCTACACCAAGTACGAAAACTTAGAATCATATAGAAGCCCCTACTATGTCTAGAGTAGGAAAATTATCACCCATGGGACTGAAATCTCAAATATAAACCATTTTATCACGACCAAAAGTCAAAAACCTTGGTATTCGACACAAGACCTGGAGGTTTTTAGGTGCGATTCTTCTGAAGAGTCTCGCACTAGGACGAAACAGCTCCCTAGGGGACTCGTAGCTGTTAGTGATTTTCCGGATGATATTAATCGATGACGAAAACCGTCTCCAGATTCATCAAGAGAAATATGTGGCGCTATTCATTAATGAGGTTTGGGTATCGCATTATGTGTGCGGGTGGACGAGAAAAACAGGATCGAAGATCATTCCAATAGAATAAAATAATCTTTTGTTGTTATATGTGTATTTGTATACCTTGTTTCCTTCTTCATCCAGTGGATAAGAAAAAACAGAGTAATTAAAGGATGCTCATTACTAAAAAAAAGCAGTCAATATGTTTGGAATTCGATAAATCGAAAAATGGTAAGACAAAGAAGGTGACCCGAGAAAAAAGTACAAAATAAGTCCATGGACAAAGAAATTACTAAATAAATCGATAAGTGAAAACCAAAACAAACTGTACACAAATCATAGTTTAATTTATGGTGATTGAGAAATAACTATGTACATCTAAAAAAGAATTTCCTATCAGGGGTCAGTCCACGAGTGATGAACAGACAAGTGCACTGACATGTACATTGTTATGAGATAATGATCGGAAGAAAAAAGAACAGGAATACTTTGATTTCTGATTAAAATTATGAATACAATTAGTTTTTCTGTACTAAAGATTTAGCGATATTCACTCTCACATGGAAAACCAATTTTTCGATAGAAAGAATTCAGTCATTAAAATGGTTAAATGTTGTCAAAAGGAGAAGTGCCTGTATAATTTGCAGTATTCCATAAAGATATGGTAAATCATATTTTCGGAATCGTTGATGAGTATTAAGCATTATGAATTGATCTTAGTTTCATTAACTCATTTGTCAAGGCCTCAATCTACAATAATAACCATTATAAAATCCATTAAGATATGTAATTTATGAAGATGTGTTTGCTAGTTGGGTTTTATCACGAATTGGCATCAACTAGATAAACAATGAAAGCTAGGGTTGACTACATAACTGCTTCCTCCAAGTAGTACGAACTCACACCCCAAATCAACATCCAGTATTATATATTCTGAATATTTGTTAATTTTCTATACAGCGTGACAATCACTCAAAGCCACTCGTTCATGGAGGTTGTTAGATTTCAAGGAAGTTCATATCATCGACTGACTTCAACTAGAGATATGATATACAAGCTTTTCGGCACATATACGTTATTAGTTTGAGCATTTTATTAACATCCTTACTGGGTGGGTACAGAATATATGTGTGTCCAATTAAATGGTATATAAAAATGTCAAATGCACTGATAAGAACAATCAAATTTCAGCTATTGGGTTAAAAGTTCGTAACTTGACTTTGCTTAATTCAGCTTGGATCGAAAATTTATGGTTTGAAGCCAAATTGGTCAATACTTGGTTACTAACAAATGGTTAACTTTTGCATTTTCATAAGTAGTCTCATAGGGCAGGGGTTACGAAATTACAACAGAATTAGGTTGCAGGTTAAAATGGATTTCGATTTAACCATCTGAATCATAACTGTGACCCCTCAATTATAAACTGTGGAGGCGTATAGTTTCATCAATTACTCAGTGATCAAATATTAATTCATAAGCTACTCTAAAATTTAGTTCTGCTTTCGAACTACCATAATATATTTGGGGGCTGGCAGCAACACTCATAAGATCAGGACCGTTGTGCGATGCCATTACTGATTGAAGAAATTGGCATAAATGTCTTTTGATGTTTGGTATACTGGAAAAAATGATAGAAAACCCATGTACAACGAATAACTAGTATATTTTCCAAGTGGCGAAGCAAATTCGACCAACACATATCTGTGCCGGATTCTATATGGCTTATGAGTGACTTATATTTTGAAAGTTGGGTTTTAATAGAGGAAAAGGTGTCTAATCCCCTCAATGTACTAATGATATCGTCAAATTTGTCCATCAGACTGCTTTAGAAATGAACTGTTTATTCTGACATCAACCTTTCTTAAAAATGGATATGTTTAATTTAAAAAATTATGCAAGTTAGTTTACAAAACCCCATAGTTTTTAAGAAAATATCATTCATAAACCTTCAAATTTGGTATAGCTCTGAAGAAGCCAATCCGGTAAAACTCCATGCAGCTAGTCTTTGCATAACATACTATAGCCATCAGCTTAAATGGGCCCCAAATGAAGTGTAAGTTGCTCTGAATAAAAAATTCGATGTGCGTATGTTAGTTCACTTGTATTTACGGTATGTTACTCATCGCGTCTTTTCCTCCCGACCGTTGTCGCTACCTTGACGTGGTGGTCGGGCTCGCCTATCGTGATGAAGCAACCGAGCTATACTGGCTGGAACAACCGTTCCTCAAGGTCCTACCATGTCAGACAGGTCGGTTGAAGAGCGGTAAGAATAAAAGCAACAAACCCAAGGTCCGAAGGCGAAGTCGTACTGCTGACTGTACAGAGGTGTGACAGCAGTAAGGTGTTTCCTTCAGACAACCAGCATGACAGCGATGCTGCCTTCCCACAAGTAGGGGTGGGGTTAGAAAAGGTCGCCCCCTAAAAATGTCACACCTCACCTTACCTCACGGATTTCCGTCTCCGGCGGTAAGGCCCTTTGAAGAACGGAGCTAACACGTCACAAACCTCTCACGAAAAGGCCGTGCGCGACCGACCTCAAGCAGTTGTCCCTTGGGCACTGCGGTCACGCTCTCAGGTCACTGAGACCGCCTCTAATCCAATTTCCTTTTCAGGTACCTCCAGAAGAACCCTTCCACGGTGTGGGCAACCGGGAAGTGATAACCGCCCTCAATACCTCTAACAGCACTCGAGACCACTTCCTTCCTCTTCAATTCCTATTATTCCTCCTACATCGACTTTCAACCCTAAACTTCCTCCTTCGGCTTCCTCCTCAAGTGTCACCATAGCCAACGATTCTAGTGCTCAAAACCCTGTCCCAGGTCTACTGAAACCTCGCTCCAAACTACACATTGGAGCCTTCAACGTACGCACCCTATGTCAAATCGGTCAGCAGGCTTCCTTGGCTAAAACCCTAGAATCTCGTAACATTGATGTATGCTGTGTCTCTGAAACACGCATACAGGATCCCAGTGTGGTCATTCACTTGACCTCACCTCGGCAAAACGGAGAGCCAACGAGATACACCCTCCGTGTATCCGGTGACCCGATGGCCAGTTCTCGTGGACTGGCAGGTGTAGGCATAGCACTAAGCATGAGGGCGGAACAAGCACTGCTAGAGTGGATCCTCGTCAACAGTCGTCTATGTGCGACTAGGTTGACTAATATTTTAGCTAAAATCTGGGAGTTAGACGTTATTCCAGCAGACTGGTCACAATCACTTATCGTCCCAATATATAAGAAAGAGTCAAAATCATCCTGTGACAACCACAGAGGGATTAGTTTAACTAATATAATATCTAAATTACTAGCCTCGATAATTATCAGACGCCTAAGACTCGTGAACTGCAAACACGAGAGAATCAAACTGGCTTCAGACCTGGTCGTGGTTGCATCGACCACATATTCACCATTCGTCAGATTCTAGAACATAGGCATACTTATCGGCGTCCGACAATGGTGGTCTCTCTTGACTTAAAAGCAGCATTTGACTCGGTAGACCGCGAGATTCTGTTGCAATGTCTGTCATTGAAAGGTGTGCCTCAGAAGTACATAAACCTTGTAAAGGCTCTTTACTCGAACACTGCCAGTCGAGTCAGAGCTTATGGCGGACTATCGTCTGCTTTCGCAACCTCAAGTGGTGTCCGTCAAGGATGTCCACTTTCCCCATTTTTGTTTAACTTCATCATAGATCTACTGATGGAAATAACTTTCTCGTCGACTGAGTTCTCGGGTATTGATCTCCATCCAGGAGGTCCACTTATCGACTTAGAATACGCAGATGACATAGTCCTGTTTGGTGAAGACGCTGACAAAATGCAGAGTCTTCTGGTAGCACTGAGCAACAATGCCAGAATGTTTGGAATGCGCTTCTCTCCCTCTAAATGCAAGTTGTTGCTTCAGGACTGGTCTGCGTTAACACCTGAACTAAATATAGGGAGTGAAGTAGTCGAACGCGTTGACAACTTCACATATCTTGGAAGTCTGATCAGCCCTAATGGGTTGGTATCGGACGAAATCTCAGCACGGATTCGAAAAGCTCGTTTGGCTTTTGCCAACTTACGTCACCTGTGGCGAAGGCGAGATATCCGTCTATCAATAAAAGGACGAGTATACTGCGCGGCAGTCCGTTCTGTTTTAATTTACGGCAGCGAAACATGGCCATTAAGAGTAGAAGACACTCGTAAGCTATTAGTATTTGACCACAGATGCCTTAGAAATATTGCTGGGATCACCAGGTAAGTAATAATGAGGTTAGACGCAGGGTATTAGGGAATGATGGTAAATCAGTTGATGAGGTTGTGAATCTTCATCGACTGAGATGGTTGGGCCACGTGTTACGTATGCCTGAACACCGATTACCACGAAGTGCAATGCTATCCGGTATTGGAGATGGTTGGAAGAGAATTAGGGGCGGTCAAACCAAAACGTGGCATCAGTGCTTGAAGTCACTAACTTGTAGTCTGAGCCATGTTGGTAGATGCAGACTACTTGGTTGGGGTCCGCGTGACTTTCGTAACCAATGGTTGGAGACTCTTGGTGACATGGCTCAGAATCGATCACAATGGCGTCGGTGTATACACTGTCTATCTTCCCTTAAACTAAGAGATTAAAATCGCTTCATGTCTTTCTTTCTACGAACCAATTCTTTCTTCTGGTACTATAATCTCTATATGCAATCTTCCTCTTATTTATGACCACCTTTGACCTAACCACTGCTATGAATCCGGTGTTCATCTTGTTGTGCTGATGCGGTATGGCAACTTTTTTTCATTTCAATGACTTTCCCACATCTATTATTCAATGTAAGAATTTAAGTCGTCTTATCGGCGGTCAAGATTTCACGTTGCTATTGTTACTATCTTATTCGTCGATCAAACTTTCTTTTCAGTCAATAACTCCAGCTCCATAATGAACACTCCCACCAAAGTATCTACTTAATTTAGTTTTCTTGTTTACAAAATACAAGTTTCAGTCAAGTAAGTATACTCATCAATTCAATGTATCAATAGTCAGCGAGCATTATACAAATATAAGCATGGAGCTGGATCTAAAAAATAGTCCATAAACCTAGAGTTAACTTTACCTTATCTTTCAATATTTTATTCTCCAATGCATATCGATTGATTAGGATATTATGAAAAGCACTGGGTGTATTTACTGGAGAGTAGGAGGATAATAACTCATTGTCAATACTCTTTGCACGGTTACGACAATGATTAACACATTCCATATTATTAATTTGTTCCTTATTCAACGTGCATTTTTCAAATCCAATTTGAAATACGCCATATTCTGTTAGTTCAATAATCAATCCTTGTTGCAGAAACAACTATTTGAACATAATGTAAAACATCAATAGGAATTACTAATACTGATATGAATTATTCTTATTTATTGGCCAAAATGTTGAAGAGTTTTAAGACTTTTATAGCCAGTGGGCTTTCCATACAATTCTAACAGCATTCATGGATTTAATAGGAAATTTTCACTGAATGTAAAACGATGTGGGTTGAAAAGCTGCCAAGTTCCAGCCACTGAGCGGTAATATGCCTTTTGATAACAAGGTTTGAACCTTAAATTGACTAGGGATGTGTATGTGTGTGCAGAGTGCTAAAAATCCTCAGATTAGAGGAAAAATAACTGTAAGATATTCTATTACTTTCACTTAATATCGGTTAGCAAAATGGCTTATCACTAATAATAATTATCACTGTAATTGCCTCATTGAAGTATTACATGTTTGGTTTTGTGATACGAACAAGTTGTCCGTAGATATGTAAGGAAAATCTTTCCATTTTATTAACTTAGGTTGTTCCTTCATAACGACTGAATAGGCAACTGAATCTCCTCTGTGTACTAATTGTAAATTAATTCTTCTTTTTCACAAAATCATATAAGGAAGGATATATACGCGTCGAAATGGGTGAGAAGATAGCAAAAGACACTATATGTATATGCCTCAATACAATTATTTTGTATATCAATTAAATTCACAATTCAAACCGTTTAATCTGCTGCGAGAAATCATTTCACTAATGTCATAAGAATGGAGATGTCATAACTTATAAAACTAACTGGCACGTTGAATCAATCATATAGATACAATTAATTGATCCCCGTTAATCTGCTGGCAAAAAAGGTTAAGTAAAAAATCCTTTGCACAGAATATTGCAACATATTTCTATTAAAGTCGGATGGTGGTTAACAGTGGAATTCAGGACGTATGTTCCGTCATATTTAGAACTCGTCAGATGGATGCACCTGGTTCCCAGTATCCATGTTATCATAACGGGTACAAACACATCCAGCTAACGAGTTCCAAATAGGACTAGTCATGAACTTTATGTCAATCATCGGAGTAATCCGCTCAAGATACAATAAGAGACTGGTTAATTCTAGTCCTTAACATCAATAATGGAAAGATACAAAACCTTTCAAATAATGAATGAAAGTATTTCTCTTTATTACATGCACTTTAGTTGTGACGATGTACAACGATGTAATAAAGGAATTACTACAACAGGGATTATCTGCCATGTATAAACATTAAACTCGGAAATTTTCCAATTCGTCTCCTTACTCTTAAAGCCTTTTTCCGTGTTAAATAAACTATTTGTATGGCATTCTTACTGTGCTTTACAATCACAAATTTCAATATGGCTGTATCTTATTTCTCCAAAAGATAGGTAAGGAAGGAAATATACTAATTACTGAAGTGTTGCCACTTATGATATTCAATACCGTAACTGTTTTTAAGCATTTTATAAAAATAGTCAATGATGGCTGGGAAATCTGTAAATGATACATTTTAAAGGATAACATTTACACACCTGTCTGAAGAGTTTTATTTGTTCTGGATTTTCATTGGCACCTGATTCCAGTTTCAGTGATAAATTTCCTTGTTTTAACAATAAACGGATTGAACATCTTGGAGGTGAATTAATTGAATCGTCATTATTATTATTATCCACGCTAACTCCATGTATGCTACTACACAGAGAAGAATTTAATGGATTTATGTTTTCATGGCCGCCAATTTGATGCCATACGTGAATAAATAATTGTTGAATATTTGATGGAATAATGAGTCTCCAATTTTTTAATAAAGTAGCATTGGCATATAACCATGGATAAATATCACTAGTCGTAGACTTTAGTTTTGTTAGTCCAACCGTTGGATCACCACCAAAACTTAGGAAGACTGACCATAAATAATCAGATTGTACAAATTTATTATGTTGTTTTTGGTCAGGTTCAGCACGAGATGAAGCGATGGAACAATGAAATGATTCTTCTGGTTTCATAAATAATTGAAGTGATTTAAATACAATCCAAAAACGTGTTTCTAAATTCATAACATCTAAAAAACATTAAAATAGTAACTTATTTACCAAGTGTACATTTGTGTCCTTAACTCTAAGCCATATAATCTTTGTGAGGGAGAGTGATACAAACTGATTATAATAGCTTGACGTCGATTAGGCAGGATTTGGATTGAGTACTTCAACTGTTGAGTCACTGATTCGCCTTTTTTATGATATAGCTTACATATTTATAGAATGATCACTTGGAAATAACTAAGGTTACAACAGATTAAGGATTTCTGAGTTTGTAACCATTGATATTATGTACAACACGAGTTTAAACTATCTCAATTTATATTTACTGACACACTTTAATTGAAGTCGTTAGTGAGCACTAAAAAGTAACCATATTGTTGTTGACAAATTTATCTGTGACTTGTGAAATAATGACTATATAATAAGAGAGAGCTCTACATAAATCGACTGTCGAATAAAAATGCGGGAGAAAGCACTGTTAGTGATTGTCGTTCGAAACTTGACGAATTAACGAGTGCTACCAAGTAATTAGATACAAAATATTGGTTTGTGGATTAGAACACGACTACGAACTATTAAGGTTACATGTTTTAACCACACTCCATTTACTTTGGTATAGTTAGCCACGTAGTATCGCTAACTCTACATATTAAAAATTGTGGCTCAAAACCGAGTGCACCGATGCATACTTTAAGAAACTTTATTTGGTACTGAACGTTAACAAAAAAACAACGATAAGGTTTTGTCTAATATACTTCGAAAAGTCAATAACTGTTGAACTGAGTCATTTCAGGAGGTGTAGACTTTGTAGTTCGGGTCCTCGAGACACTTGTAATCTATGGTTGAAGGGTATGATTCGAAATCAGTCGTAGATGTACATATGAATTTGCTCTGAACCACTAGTTGTAATATTATTTCATAGTTATTAATGATTTATTGAATGTGACCACTTTGAACTATACTTCGTATATATAGTTCTTTATTACTACTAATACTATTATTTCGAATTTACTGATTTTGACATGGTTTCTTCGTACTGTGATAATTTGAAATGTGGTGATTAGAAATCTATGTCAAATCCTGCAATGTTTATAACTGAATGACTTTGTTTAACTAAGATTTCATACGTAATGGTACTGACCCATAAGTTTACGCTGGCTGTGAAAACCTGAATTGATGTAAGTAATTGTAGTAGAGGAGACATTATTGTTGAACAATATAAAGTTAGATAAAAATAAGGACGATTTTTGGTTTATAGAAATCATCTTAGTGACGCATAGGATATACGTTCAACAATCCATTGCTTATAAATATTAAACATATGCTTCATCTGATAGTGATTATCATCATTCTAAGGCAATATAATTTAATCAACAAGTATAATGATAATGTATTCACTTATGAGCTCTACTTTATACGTGAAACCTACTGATGTGACTAAACTACTTGGAACGAATCAAGAAAATCAATCCCACTCCCACTTGAGTTACTACAGTTGAACGCAAGAGGCTCCATCTAATGTCCTCCAGGAGGGAAAGGTGATACAGTGAGGCAATCAGATGTCCGTCAATGGGAGCTTTCTTCTCATTCAAGTAGTTGGTTGGGTTTGTAGAGCTTATTCGACAGTATCAGGATTTGAAAACCCATAATATAATATAAAGAATAGTTCTGTTATAACCTAGTGAAGATTAAATTACAGGTAACTTCCGAGGACTATTAATGGACTAATATTATATAAATATTCTTATGGTATAATTATTCAATAATTATATTTTGTATATTTATATTCCCCTTATTATAAGCTTCATTTTGACCCATAATTTATTATTATACGATTTACTGTCCCTAAATTATGTTCAGCTTATTAACTACTGCCTTCCACGTTCACAGCAACTTTTTGGCTTTATTGTGTACAAATGCTATTTCCTATTTTATCGTGCGTTGCGGTCTGTTTGTTTGATATATAAACACAGTATGTTTGGAAAATATGATTCGAATATTGAAGCTGGTATTGGTGTTCTGGACCGAAGTGGATGGGCTAGGCGGACGTAGGACCAATAAGGACGCTATACTGCTCATATCGGTCGAACATCATTGGTTTTGGCACAGTGCTAAGACTGTATAAGTCGTATTTTAACTGGTGGATAAATCACGTGGTAGAAAGCCGGACATAAAGTCAAAACAAGTTCGGGCTCCTTATCTAGCTTCTATAAAACTTTCATTATATTGACTACAATTAAACGAAATCTTTCTTAATATATCGTTCAGTTATTTTATTATTAATCAATTTTGTGGTTATGCTTACCCGCTTCAAATGAAAATCCAGCCAACTGTATGATTACACTCGATATATTTGACTTTTTCCATTGACGAAATCTATCATGATCAGTAATATTTTCCTCTGATTTTGGCTCTTGATACTTTTCCATTGCTGCTGTCAGACCAGTAGTAGTAGTAGTAGCTGCATCGGGAGTATTCGATGTATATGGTGCAAAGACATCTACGTCTAACAATTCTGAACCAATCTCATCTGGACTTAGTAGAAATGATGAACAGTTGAGCAGATGCTGATGATTAAGAGGTGGCCATAACATATCATCAGTTTGATATGTACACGATGAATTCAAATTAGATAAAACTTCATATGGCTTAGTCCAATCATCCATCGAACTGGATGTACTTTGTAGATCAGATAAATCACTGGAAATAGAAAACTGTTGACTTATATTATTTTTAGATGAATTGTTTGCCCAAACTCCATCCTAAAGCGAGTAGTTAAATTAAAAACAATAGCGTGTTACCACTGAAAAGAAATCTACAGTAATTATTTTTACTACGTAGTTAAAACACCATGCAAGGACTTGACGGAACACTTAGATTCATTTGAGATAACCATGAGTTGATAGGTCCTCGTTTTGAATCTGTGTGAGAATGACGGAAGCTAAACAACTTGCATAAACTGTGAATTAGTATTTAACCGATGTGAAAGTAGATCAGCACAGCAAGAGCAAGGTTGATAATGCACTCTGATAACACTGTGTTGTTGAAACAGAGTGATAATAATAAAGGTTTACTTCACTTATAGAAAATCGACTGAATAAGATGTCCCAGGATAGATCAGCATATATAGCTCCCCGTTCTAAAATGGCCTTGAGCGTGAAAGATTACGTCTAATGTTATTTCCTCGTTATCCGAATAATGAGCTTTGGAAAATAACTTGATCTTCTTTTTGCTACCTTCATTTAAGATCCCAAGGTGTTCCCAGTCAAACTCGAATTCCCCGTAGTGGAGATTTGACTGATCATTTTGTCATCAACTGGCGGACATCGGTAACTGAAGTTACTGGATAGCTGTTTCGTTATGATCTGCGAATCTAAATCCAAACGCATTCATGGCTACACACAAAACTGTATTCAAAACTTTCAAGTCCATCCACGAGGACGTAGTCAAAAACCAGTGGTTCACATTGCCAACTCTATTCATTTTCAGAGACAGAACGATGATAGTTCAATGTGACTGATAAGAACGGTTTTGCTTCTGATATGCTTGAAAAGAACGCCTTATCCCAATCGATAACTTCTCATTAAAAAAGATACACTTATTTAAGAGATAAGAAAGTAACTTTTTATAACAACTTACCGCAACAAGATTAAGCATAAAAAGATCTTGTTCAGAGAGAGGTTTATTTTGTGACTCTTTGTTTCGATCAACCTCATTACATTCATTTTTTTTATTGACAAACGTAACTGTTGAGTGAGTTTTACGTTTTATTATAAAACTTTTGGGTGATGGTAAATCGGAATTTACTAACTTATTCGTACATCTATTACTGTTATTATTAATGCTATCAGTAGTTCCAATACTACAATCACAATCATTTTGTAATAAAGATTGTGGACTATCATCTGAGGAATTAATGCGCCCACGCATTGATCTCCGAAGATTAGTTCTATTTAATTTACTACTGTCTAACACAGAACCTTCGGTTTTTAATGATAACGAATCCCATGAAGGTGTAAACATGGGATGATGATGGCGAAGTGATGTCTGCGACGACAACGGTAGCACTGTGGCAGCAGAAAGTGGAGTAGGATTATGTGAGAATTTTGTTAAAGATGATGGTGATGATGACGATGACAATAGAGTAGTTGATAAAGATTTATTCGGAAAAAAATTGACACTTGTAGCAGATACATTTGGAGTATTCGGTAGACTAGTGTCAATATTATTCTCCGTGAAACTAGGAGACGATACTTGTTTGATACGAATTTCATTTTCATGAGAAACATTTACGTCCAGCTCAATTGATCGTAGTGTGGAAAAACCTACACAATATAACAATTTATGGTGATTATGATTTGATTGTGGACTGACTGACAATGTGGATTGACTTTCGGTAATTTGTGTAAATTCTTGATAGTCTAAGTACAAACGTGTTTGTACATACGAAATTTGCTGATATATATAATACAAAAATATGATTTGATCTAATGTGTCAGGAATTCTCAGTTTTTCACTGTTCATGGTAGAAAATTTGATAAGGCGTGATAATAAAATACGATTAGTGTATAATTGATCTGTAGAACCTAAAGAGATTTTGATTGGACATTGATCTGCTGATTGGTTTATCATATGTGAGGATGATGATGTTGAATCCATAGGGATTAATTTATTATCAATATCAATTATTAACGATATTGGAGAATGATTGAATGGTTGATTCTTGTTGATAACTGTTGAAGGCACCGATACATTAATTGGCATTAGTGACCATATAGTCAAAGGAAGAGATTCAATTAATGATTGACGGTATATTATACAATCATTGATTCGATGATCGTTGTTAACAAGATGGACAGAATTATATGTCGTCAAATCGATTATTGTAAGAAATTCACTCCATACATTTGGACAATGAATGCACCAAAATTGTTCTTCGAAATTCTGCGAGAAGTTTTCAAAAAAATATCTAAGTATATAATAAATGAGATTTTTAATGCATGTACATGTTTATGTACTGAGCCTGTAGTATACTTTTAAAGTGCTATGATAATATTACTCAACTTTCAAATTAAAGCAATTGGAGTAAAAATTGCCCTTGCAACTCAGTGTTATTGATAGTTGAGTGATTCAATCAATAAGCCGTTGTTTCACACAAAGGTCAGAAGATTAGGCTATATAAGTAAAGGACAAATGATTTTGACTAAATCTGAAAACTATGAAATAGATGAATTTTTATTGTAATGATTCTAATCTAATGGCTGGTAAATGACCTAGAAAATCCTAATGATGATTTACACTAAAAGTTTTTAATCATGTTTATTTTGTGATAAATAGCTTGTGTACATAAGTTTATGATTTTTACTACATAAAATGGTTTATACGTTACTCATGAAATATTTTATTGATATTAGTTTATAGGGACTAAATTTAAATCAGTCCGGATTTTGAAAATAGCCATCACAAGATTGAATTGTTCATTATCAATTCAACTGGTCGATTGTAGTCAGCAAAATTAAATAATCTTTAAACCGTAATGCTACCTTAATGTGCAGAAATAGATCATTTTCGAAAAAAAAAACATTGCATAAAGACCATCACATAGTGGAGATCTTGACTCATAAATTTGCCAGATATAATTCAACCATGAAGGAAGAATTAATTAGCTAACACTACCTTCCCATACATCTAGAGTGAGTTCACTGTGAATATATTCAATTCAGATAAATCGGGCATAAGGCCGAACTTTAGTTATTCAAACCTTCATATGAATAACACAATATTGATTTGTGAAAATTCATTGGTCTATTTTAAAGGAGAATCAACATCAAAAAGTGGTGTTAGTGAAATCTATCAAGTTGGAAAGGCAACACAAACTTCCGGGTGACGGTGAACGTGATTAGTGTAACAAAGTAAACTAACACTATTTGGAAGCGAGGACTAGTAATAATGGCGTGATAATGTAGACGAATCGTACTCACTATGAGAACTGAAGATGCTGGGTCTAACAACGGTTATTCGATCTAATCTATTATGAAAGGAAGTTCGGACCTGAGATCTATTCTCTCGAGAGCCAAGTGCATTGGCGGCAAACTACTGTAGTGAAGGAGAACACGGGTGACGACAACCAAATTGTATTTAGCACAAATTACAGAATTACTTGGTAAAATAGAAAAACCATATAGTAAATCGTTAATTTGCAAAATATCATTCCATCATATCAAACCGGACTGTTGCTGTTGCAAACCTCAATCCATTGTCTCGCATTTCATTGTTCATGCGATTTCTTACAAATTCCATTGTTTTCTCGCTCTTCTTTTCTTGATCTTCTCCATCTTCTGCTGCCAGACATTACGTTCTTTTGACTCACGTTATATACTACTTATATCAATATAAGTAGCACGCACCACACTCGTCCCCCCTTTTAACAAGTTGCTGTCGTAGTCTTTCTGATCTCCGTACCGCTGTGTTCTTTGGTGCTTTTCGTGATTCACACCCATGATGATCTTGAAACCATCTCTGTAGTTGACTAGCATTTACGCGCTTCTGCTTGTCTTCTCTCCGGATCGTGTAGACCGAGCCGCGTCTCTCCGTGATAACATACGGTCCTTCCCATTTTGGGGCCAGCTTCCCCGACCCTGCTCCCCCTGCTATGTTACTTTTTCGTTCTCTACACTTTACTAGGTCCCCCACTGCAAAGGGTTTCCACGTTCTCCTCTGTTGTTCTGCCTTCTTTGTGTCTGATATTTGTTTCTTTTCCACGTTCCTTATTGCCTCTCTCCTCTCTTTTCTTAACCTTGTTGTCGTCCACTTCTGTTGTTGTGGCCAGGTCTTATTATGCATTGGAAGTCGTGGTTGTCTGCCATACATGAGCAAGAAAGGTGACTTCTTGGTTGTTCCTTGTGTGGAGGAACGATGTGCCAGCAAAATCAATGGTAACTCTTTCTCCCAATTTCCTCCTTTTGATGCTAACCATTCCTTTAACGTCCGATTGTTTCTCTCTGTAAGCCCGTTTGTCTGAGGATGATACGGTGTAGTTCGTATTCTCTTGATGCCAAACTGCTTTAAACGGGCTTTAAACTCGTCACTTTCAAAACAGGGACCCTGGTCAGTTAATATCATCTTCGGTATTCCGTGACACGCTACAATATGCCGGATTACCACCTCGGTCACTGTCCTTGCCCGCTGGTCTGCAATGGGTACGGCATCTACCCAACGTGTAGCATGTTCCGTCATCACTAACAGGTACTGGTTACCGCTCGCCGTCTGTGGAAACGGTCCCATCACATCCACCGACCATAGATCACCGACTGCGGTTACTGGGATTGACTGTAATGGCGGTTGTGTGTATCGATCGCTTTTCATTAGCTGACACTGCTGGCAGGTTAACACGTATTCAGCCACATCGTCTCTCATGCTCGGCCAGTATGCACTTTGTCGTAGTAAGTCCGTCGTTCTTGCGATGCCTGTATGTGCTACCTGGTGACACTCGTGTATCACTTTACGCCGCCAGTCTTTCGGGATCACCGCCACCCAATTCTCATCATCGTCCTGCCAGGTCAGCACTCCATATGAGTTCACTCTCAGTCGGTCCTTTTGCCGAAGCAGCGTTATTACCTCCTTGTCCATTGTTCGTTTATCTACGTCTGCTCCCTCTTTTATCACTCTGATTACCTCTCGAAGGTTAGGGTCAGCTTTCTGCTGCCGGACGAGTTCTAATGGGTCTCCCTCTAAACTATTCACCGCGTATGCTGTTAATGGCAGGTCGGCTTCCATGTCTGGTCTTGACAAGTAATCTGCCATTACGTTTTCTTTTCCTGGAACATGGCCGATACTGAAATCGTATTCTTGCAGGCGTATCATCCATCGCGCCAACTTCCCTCGGGGGTCTCTTGCTGTTTTCAACCACTGCAGGGGTTTATGGTCGGTCTCAATGTGAAATCGTCTACCTAAAAGGTATGGTCTCCATTTTTCCACTGCCCACACGATCGCTAAACACTCCTTTTCGATGGTTGAATACTTCTGTTCAGCAGGTGTGAGGACGCGACTCGCGTATTCCACCACTCTATCAGCCTGACTCAACACAGCACCTATACCATGATCACTCGCGTCTGTGGCCACTGTAAACAGTCTTCCCGGTTCAGGCAGTCTGAGCGTCATCTGGCGATCGTCTAGCATGTTTTTGATTCGGTTGAACGTTTGTTCGGCAGTCTCAGTCCACGTAAACTTGGTGCTGCTCAATAACTTATATAAGGGTGCTGCTATTTCGTTGAAATTCTTGATAAACCGACTGTAGAACGCCGCTCTTCCCAGGAACTGTCTCAACTTCCTTTTCGAATTAGGTACTGCAATATTTTTTATGGTAAGAATTTTCTCCGGCAATGGTTTTATTTCTCCATTTCCCACTTTATGTCCCAACAATGTGACGCTACTTCTCGCTATCTGCGACTTGTCCTTATTAATCCGAAGTCCAAATTCGTCAATTCGCTTTAAGACCGCTTCCACATGCTTGATGTGATCTGTTTCTGTTTGACTGTACACAACTACATCGTCGCCATATACCTCGACATTATCTAGATTCTTGAGCAGTAGTGTCATTAATCTTCTGAACGTGAACGGTGCACCCGCCAACCCGAACGGCATTCGTTTAAATTGATACTGTTTATCACGTACAGTAAACGCTGTCTTGCTTCGATCACTCTGTTTTATAGGCAGTTGCCAATAACCTGACCGTAAATCCAGCACTGTAAACACCGTGGCATTCTGTAGCCGATCTAATGTTTCCACCACTGTTGGCATTGCACAAGGCTTCAGGTCTGTTATATTATTCAATTCTCTGAAGTCGACACAAAATCTATACTTTCCATTTGGTTTCTTTACCAAGAGTACCGGCGAGCTATATGGGCTGTCCGCTTCCTCAATTATACCTTCTTTTAACATTTCCTGGACCTGACGATTTACCTCGGCCTCTAAATGCACCGGGACACGACGTGTTGCAAATATATTTACTCGACTGTTCTTTATCGGTATTTCGTGCTTTACTCTGTCACAAAATCCATACGGCTCCCCATCTCCAGTGAATAGTTTCGCATACTTTTTGCATAACTCGTGAATGTTTGGTTTCTTTGACGAGACATCCGCTGCAACTCTTATTTCAGCCACTTCGCTACTTTCGTGTATTGTCAATGAACCATATTTCGTGACCACCTTACCGCTTCTTAAGTCAACTATCGCTTTTACTTCTCTTAGGAAATCTGCTCCTAATATCGGTCTCGATAAGCTTGTGGTTACGACGAACGGAAAATTTATCTCAGCATCCCCCACTTTTACGATACTGTTAGATACGCCAAACACCTCTAACATATAGCCCCCTATCGTGTGGACAGCCTCCGACTCCTCATCCAGACTCGGCAGCGCACGGAGTAACAATCTGGTAAGCTCGACAGCCAGCACCAGTGGGTCACCATCGACCGGCAACCTCGCCAGCCGGAACTTCTGCAGCGCGCCCTCTCTGTCCACTGGGCTGTCAAACTCCGCCGCCAACCGCTCCGTGACTGTCTCCCATGTCGTCTTCCCGCCAGCACCGTCCAAGCTGTCATACACAGCCTTCGCCCTGCCTCTCAGCAGCGTCCCCAGCACCACCAACTTCGCCTTCGGCTCCTGCACTCCCACCAGCTCCGCCGCGGCCCCAAACTCCCTCAGGAAGCTCAGCACATCCCCGTCCTCAAACTCCTTCGGCCATGGAATCTTCATCCTTAGTGGAGGCAGCGACACCAAATGTAGTGAAGGAGAACACGGGTGACGACAACCAAATTGTATTTAGCACAAATTACAGAATTACTTGGTAAAATAGAAAAACCATATAGTAAATCGTTAATTTGCAAAATATCATTCCATCATATCAAACCGGACTGTTGCTGTTGCAAACCTCAATCCATTGTCTCACATTTCATTGTTCATGCGATTTCTTACAAATTCCATTGTGTTCTTGCTCTTCCTTTCTTGATCTTCTCCATCTTCTGCTGCCAGACATTACGTTCTTTTAACTCACGTTATATACTACTTATATCAATATAAGTAGCACGTACCACACTAGCACTTCGTAAAACACTATCTTAGAAGTTGAGAGCTAGTTCTAAAAGACGATTTTCACAGCTAACTTGATGATATACGATTGTTTACTCTTTTAAAGAACATATATCAATCATAACTGTGAGCATAAACATGTACGTCATTCACAATAAAACAAATTTACAAAGAATGAATCAAATATTGTTTCATAGCTTAAAACTTACGGGACATAAACTATGTAATTCTGTAGCTGACTGAACTAGTTTTTGGAATTTTGACAAATCCGGTGATTTGTGTGGAACAGCTTGAGAAATGAATGGATTATTACTCATACAACTGGTATCATATTGACCATAACTCAATCGCAAATTGTCTAACAGCTTTTTCAAACAATCAGCGACATGTGATGATATAGGAGCTGCTAGTGACTGTACGATAATTTGATCTGACTGAAAGACAACAATTTTGGGAAAAAGAGCAAAGAGAAATAGGAAAATTTGTTTCATACGCTCATCAGCAATCATAGAGATAGTGCAGAAGCTATTATCAATACGTATCGATTCGAGTTACCTCTTAAGTCTACTTCAAATCATGTCACATAGCGTTAAATTGTATACTCCAATTGTTCTACAGAGTTCGACTAGAAATTCTGAATACCCTGAAACGAACCAGTTCAGTAGTTAGAAAGTTTGCAAAACGATATCATGAAATGATCTGTCCGCCCATAGCTTTTGTCAAATCCACTTCCATGGTAGCCAGTATATCATCTCCAGGTAGACACCGATTTGGCAAATAACAACAAATATCCCTTCATTTGGTAGATGAACGTTCACAACGTAGGTCAAAATTTACTCTCTACATCCAGTGCTTCGAAAGCAATGGATCACTAGACACTGTCACTTTAGTATTTTACGAGTAAAAACAGTCAAATTGAGTGACTCTTTTGAGTAATAGATTATAAACATGACTTGTTTGTTAAAAGTATTTAAAATCGTCCTCTACCGTTTGGTGGCAACAGAAGTTAAGTCATCACAAAATAATCAATACAGTTTGAAAAAATACACAGTATTAGTAATAGAAGAATAATTAATTACTTGTAAAATAAGAGCGTGTGGTCCAATCCAATTGGATGAATTCGTATGACGATTGGACTGTCCAAATAGTGAGAATATCAACTATATTTGAAAAAAAGTAATACGAGTTAGATCATCTAAAAGATACAATGAGTTCAAACGAAACTGTAATGTATAATGATGCTGTCTAGTCTGTCAAGCCAAACAGACGGAACTGTGTTCTAATCTGCATACTAATTGGAAATCAAATGCTTTAACCACTAAACCGTTTAGAGTTCCATTATTATTAGACAAGAGTAGGGTGAAAATAACACTTGTAACAATCCTGTTGAGTAGAGAAAATGAAAAAGGTTCAAATGCTTTACATGGAATATGCTATTTACCTAATGACAAATGCAATTGATAATAGTTAACAGTATTCCAGGATGAAATTGAAACAATATAATAATTGAAGTTTGAAATGAGATTGGTTTGTAGGTAATACTCGTTACGAATCGATTTCAGCCTGGGTCATTATTAAAAACCAGGAAATACTAAACAGATAATTTGTCCCTACATAAGACCCCGTCAAGAATGGAATCTGGGATTTGAGGTCTTGTGGCGAGTACTTGATTTAAAGCGATTAGTCCCTTTTATAAATTTCGATAGAACAATGAGAAACGGAGTTGATCTGAAAAATGTGATGTATTTGCACTATACATTTCGAACAATTTGGTCACACATATACTTGTCAGGGCATTTTTATATGAAAGTACTAAAGGTCAAACAAATAAAAGTCCAATTAAAATAACTAAGGGGAGAGAAAGAATAAGAAATTGTCGCGTTATCCTAGGCCATAGAATAACTTAAGAATTACCAAGGTAAATTCAAGGTTACGACAAGTTGTTTTTGTACACATAAGGGGGGTTTAAATTTACAAATAGCCAAGGCTTCAATAAACTTAATAATTCGAACTTGACAATTTCTATACAACATTCTAAATGCTGTATTGATGTCAATTTTGTGCCCCGTCTCAATTATATGTTTCACTATCGATGAACTTGGTTTTCTACCTCCTACATTGATCGGATCATTTGACTCACATTGATTTTGAAGCCATCTAGGCACATGTTCATTGACCCTTGATTGCATTGTTCGAGTACTCCTCCCTATGTATATGTGTCCACACAAACATGTAAATTGGTAAATACAATGGGATGTTACGTAATTATTAGTGCATTGTTTGGGTCTATTAGGAATTATGGCCTTAGACTTTTCAATCACAACCAACTGAGCAGCATAATGCGTATTCTCGATAGCTGCTTTCAATCTCTGTCTTAAAACTATACTGTTAGATTCGCCTCTATATGGTAGGTTGATATAAAATTTTTTCTTTGGCACTGAATAAATTAGAGGTCGTGGCATTCACTGACTTTTGCACCTATTAATAAACTTGAGTGGATAACCATTTGCTATTAATGTGTCAATCAGTAACTTTTCATCTTTTTCCACCATGTCAGAGGTACATATTCTTCGAGTCCTCTTAAAGAGACACTTAACCAGACCTCTCTTGTATTGCAATGGACAGAAACTATAGAAATTTAAGTATTGTCCCGTCCAAGTTGGTTTCCTGTACACGGACCGTCTAATAGTGCCATCCCTTCGATTTAAGAGTATGTCTAGAAAGGCTAGATGGCCATTACTTTCTGATTCATATGTCATCACAATATCGTTTTGAACACCATTGAGTTTATCCAGTAATCAGTAAACATCAAAATCCTTATCACATATAATTAGGATATCATCCATATATCTTCTGTATAGAGTTGTCTCACTAATAAGGTCGCTCGTCATATTTTCCACATATGACATGAACACATCGGCTAAGAGAGGCCCCAAAGGGCTACCCATAGCTACACCACCAACTTGTCGAAAATATTCACCATCAAACGTAAATTGAACATTAGCTGTACATAATAAAAGTAATTCTTTCAAAAATGGTAACGGAATAGGAAAAAGGGGAAAGATTTTTTGGTTGTGATTGAAAAGTCTAAGGCCATAATTCGTAATAGACCCAAACAATGAACTAATAATTACGTCACATCCCATTGTATTTACCAATTTACATGTTTGTGTGGACACATATTGTTATAGCTGTGAAAATAAAGCTGCTGATTAAGGGTAGGCGAATTATTGATCGGACCAAAGACGCGCAAACACGTAGAACGACCTAGGGTCCTGATTGGTCCCGCTCCCCTGTCTAGCCCAGTCAGTTGAGTCCAGAACGCAAGTCACAGCCTCTGAGTTATGAATCATTATATTTCAAAAGTACCAGTCAAGCAGACCACATCGTACGATAAAATAGAAAATAACACTGTACAATATTAACCAGTAGGAAAATAACACGTGAAATAAGTACTGACCAATAAGTAAATAATACCATCTCCAACTCCAAGAATAGCATTAGACTAATAGAATAATTTCTGGGATATTTTCCTGAATATCCCAACACATATACATAGGGACGAGTACTCGAACAATGCAATCAAGGGTCAATGAACATGTGCCTAGATGGCTTCAAAATCAATGTGAGTCAAATGATCCGATCAATGTAGGAGGTAGAAAACCAAGTTCATCGATAGTGAAACATATAATTGAGACGGGGCACAAAATTGACATCAATACAGCATTTAGAATGTTGTATAGAAATTGTCAAGTTCGAATTATTAAGTTTATTGAAGCCTTGGCTATTTGTAAATTTAAACCCCCCTTATGTGTACAAAAACAACTTGTCGTAACCTTGAATTTACCTTGGTAATTCTTAAGTTATTCTATGGCCTAGGATAACGCGACAATTTCTTATTCTTTCTCTCCCCTTAGTTATTTTAATTGGACTTTTATTTGTTTGACCTTTAGTACTTTCATATAAAAATGCCCTGACAAGTATATGTGTGACCAAATTGTTCGAAATGTATAGTGCAAATACATCACATTTTTCAGATCAACTCCGTTTTCTCATTGTTCTATCGAAATTTATAAAAGGGACTAATCGCTTTAAATCAAGTACTCGCCACAAGACCTCAAATCCCAGATTCCATTCTTGACGGGGTCTTATGTAGGGACAAATTATCTGTTTAGTATTTCCTGGTTTTTAATAATGACCCAGGCTGAAATCGATTCGTAACGAGTATTACCTACAAACCAATCTCATTTCAAACTTCAATTATTATATTGTTTCAATTTCATCCTGGAATACTGTTAACTATTATCAATTGCATTTGTCATTAGGTAAATAGCATATTCCATGTAAAGCATTTGAACCTTTTTCATTTTCTCTACTCAACAGGATTGTTACAAGTGTTATTTTCACCCTACTCTTGTCTAATAATAATGGAACTCTAAACGGTTTAGTGGTTAAAGCATTTGATTTCCAATTAGTATGCAGATTAGAACACAGTTCCGTCTGTTTGGCTTGACAGACTAGACAGCATCATTATACATTACAAAACTAAATAACGGATACACGAACCTGAGCACAGAATATGAGTTACTTTTTTTGCTTCCATAATGGATACACAAACCTACCAACATCCGGATGTTACAGTAAATATTATGAAAACCAAAATCATCATATTGTATTAAACAACCAATTCACTTAGTTAACAATAATTTAAAAGATATATATATATATATATATATATATATATATATATATATATATATATATATATATATTGTGATCTTGTACCCTACATTCACGGTGAAAAGTTATGAGCGCAAAATGTGCAGTGTTACAACAAGTTCAGGTCATATATCCACTTAACTTGTGAACTTTTTATAAAGCCACGTAGGCACGTATTTTATTTACACAAATTCTTAATATCAGAGGTTGGAAATTTCAACTATTAATGCTTAGAAATAAACGTAGAATCTTACTAGATGATCATAAATGTAGAAATAGTAAGCAAAACACTTTGAAAAATTCTACTTACACGAGGCATCAAAGCTTCAAGTCGTACATGATATCGATTTAAATCAAATAGTCTGTTAGGCTGTTTCGACGGATTGTTCTTATCTCTGCCGGATAAGAAAGTTGACTAAATAAATATAACAAAAATGAGTTCTGATTTAGCAAAAAGTAAAAATGGAAAATAATTACAAAGTAGCACTATGAAAACCGAGAAGTAAGAAACGTAGATACGCTCCACATAGGTTGACAAAGTATACATGCTTAAAAAGAATTTCACCGATAGAAATCCAATTACCCCCAATCATTATACAAGATCAAGAGTCAGACCGAAGTAAGATACAATAAAAATAAAGAGGGACGTAATGACGGATCAAAAGTCAACAACAACTAGTCAAAATTAAGGTCGGCAGGAAAAGCTGTGATTCATATGCAGAGAAACCTGAACACTTCGCTTCTACCTGAAGTTTTTGCCGATGATGTTGTTCAGAAGAACAATGAAAGCCACATGACTAGACTATCCAGATCATAGAATAAAACCAAAATTATCCACCTACGCTACAAATCTTTATTATATCAAGGTGGGAAAAGGGATTTCCATCAATACTTCAATAAAAGAACATATTTAAAAAACGATAGCTAGCATGTTTTATTCTGTTCAAGGTTTATCACTCGAGCTTACCATGACCGATTTAGTATTTCTTACACTAAGACATGAAATCACCAGTCTGGTGCGTTACAATGACCACATACTAACAGATCATAATTAAACCAATCTTCTGAATTGAAAACTGAACGACAATTGAATACTGCTTGTTGTCTTTTATTGAAGTAAGGAAAAGTCAGAGTCACCTTCGTTGATGTATGTTCACCAATCTTGTGCAAGTTGAGGCATTTTCCTTATCTCATCATTCGAAATAGCGAAATGTAGGGTAAATGGTCACAAATCTATTATTACCTTTTTTTAAGTACGTAATTAAAATGAGAGATCAGTGTAGGCGAACTGACTGAGATTGGAAATATCGGTTGGTGGACGTCAAATCGCTCAACGCGGCGACCGGAGTTATAGGGTTTCATTTTTTGACGAGGTCATGCAGTGTTCAGGAGGTCCGAAAGTGGGCGAAGCAAATGATCAATGCTTTCTACGTTTCAATACTTATTTAGTTAAAATTAGTTCGCCATGTAGACCATCTTCAGATATGACAATCATTGATGAATAAAAAAAACCTAAACACCGAAATATCAAGGAACAACTGTAGAATAAATACCTGATAAAATGTGCAAATTAATTCACAAATAATAATTTTTTCTTTTGACTACTCTTCTCAGCATCATTCACAACAACAAATGTTAAGTTCATGGGTCAATTAAAGCTAGACCACCATGAAAAACCTGAAAGCACTGGATGGCCGTTTCGTCCTAGTATAGGACTCTTCAGCAATGCGCATCCACGATCTAGCCGTCCAGTGCTTCCAGGTTTTTCATGATGGTTTAACTTTAATTAACTCATGAACTCAACCATAAAATTAATTAAATGTTCACAAAACCGCCTTTTGATTAAAAAATGTTAAGTCATATATATACTTGAGGTGTGGTTTATTTATGCATCCACGAAATACGACGCATATAGCTTTTTTTTCAATGCAAAACTGGTAGTACAACTTAAATGATCAATAAGGTGATTAAAAATGGAAACCTGAAAGTCGTGGATAGGAACCCATACGAGGTTCGAAAAGATGCACTCAACAGTACACCTCAATTTCAAATGTTTCTACAATCGACGTCAGTCTGTAAAGAAAATGAACTTCAAATGTCAATTATCCGCTAGCGTTGATTGGCTAAGGAACAACCAATCAGCGTGCTCCAACACAGTCATGGCTGGAATATGGTTTAATCCAATCTGTATCCTGAGAATAAGTACGGTCTTAATTTAGGATAGTAAACGCTTACATGAAACGTTCCATCCTCTATTTTTCTAATGAAGTAAAGTTAGTCATCTTTCATCCCAATGTCTTCGTGAATTAAACTAAATTTAAGATAGATCCGCTTAAGAATTAAAAGTACCTCAGATAGTCCGTATTTATAAACGTTTACATGTATAAATTACAATAAGTTGAAAGCTATGGCCTTATTCAAACAGTTTCACATTGTGTCAACAATTGCAGGCTTGAAGTTAATAGTGTAAATCAATAACAGTATGTTTTATTTATTGACGAATAATACCGAACAACAAATAAATAAATAAGAACTCTGATTAACGAACAAAACATGTACCAGTAATATATAAATAAATCAACTATTTTATAACTAACTAATAATCTAGTCAAACTATTTCTAGGTAGTAAAAATCAAAATTCATGATTTGTTTTTGTTGTGCTAAATGTCCTTCAGTGCAACGATGTGAGGAACAAAATCGAGCTTACAAATGCTTGGAGCTCAGATTTTACAGATATACATTAAGAATGTATGCATTTGTTTTATGTTTACTATTGATTAGCTTGGAGAAGAATCCCAAGAAGTTCTAGTGAGAATAGCTAATATTGGTTAAAATATCAAAGACTCTCATTGTGAAAATTAGAACAACACATATAAGCGAACAATTGTTTTCAATTAGACCGTCATCAAGTTTTACTCTAATATACATGAATATTTATACGAAAATGTTAAACCAATCAAGGCAATATGGGTCAATAATCACAATGAAATAGAATAGCTCACCACGCATAATAAGTAAAGATACAAGTCTTGATTGGTTTAACATTTTCGTATAAATATTCATGTATATTAGAGTAAAGCCTGATGACGATCTAATTGAAAACAATTGTTCGCTTATGTGTTGTTCTAATATTGGTTAAGTCTAATTTTATCGTTATAACTATCGAGATAATTGATGGTATTGACTGATAGTTGTACAATAATGCGAATTGGTGTTTGAAAAATCGAATCTCAACGCAGTGAACTAAAAGGTAACATGCTAACTACAAAACATCTAGGTCCTGAGTCCGAGCTCACTTAGTGTTGCAGACATGCTTGAGCATCTGGGCTACCTGTTCCTGCCATCTAGATATTTCAACAAGTTATCTATCTTTGTTTGTTTTAATATATCATTATGTCTATTAATCGCACAACCTATACTGCTGCGTTTCTGAAAAATGTACAACCTTTCGTTATTAAAGTTACAAAAAGCTCAAAAAGAGAGAATATGGTTGCTGGCAATGTACAACGAAAGGAATATACATCATTCCCATGTTCATTTACTGGACTGATAACATCTAGCTGGCGACCACTCAGTATTTATCGCGAGGACCGACCAAGAAGAAAGAAACGGAAACTTGTTGAAATACTTGTGCTGAGAATTCTATATTGTACCAATAATATAATATTGAATAAAGCTATTAATAATAATAAATAATAATACTAAGGACCGTACAAAACTTGAAAATAATTGTCTGATGGTTTGTGGTTTTTGAACGATTCTGCAGCTAGAAAACATTTTATTCAGCGTAAGAATTCTCTTCGGCGAGTTTAATTTCAATACTGTACAATCGTATATGTATGTGACATATTACAGGTCTACGAATAATTCTGTTGGTTAGAATTTGATTAGGTATTAAGTGAAATTAAACCACATGTTTTTAAACAAACAAATAAAGAGGGAATTTATGAAACATTAAAAATATTCAATTAATAGAGTGAACAGAGTAATTAGAAGCATCGTTAAGTTGAAATGAAGATATGTGAATGGTGATCCAGCAATCGACATCGAAACATTTGTGGCAATAATAATGATAACTAATTCTGTAGATATAGGAGTAAAACAGTGAAAAGAAATTGAGCAACCAAACAAAACAAATCCATAAACTAACGGTATATTAACGAAAGGTTGATATCAAGCAAGTCATTTTTGCACAAACAACGTGGACCATACTTTATGGATAGGTAAGGCTTCTATGAGAAAAAATTGGTTTAGATGTATATCTGTTGGTGTCTTTGACTGGATTTTATAAATGATGACAAAGGACAAGTCGGAGGTTGGATGTCCTATGTCTAATAAATATTACAAAATGGATGACATAATCGACATATGTTGTACCTTGTTAAAACATAGTGGTAGGTGCTTCTGAATAGAATGAAGAAAAAGTCTAGACGAGAGACTTTTAACTAATGTTAGTCTGGGATGAAAATCTATGTTAAATAGAACAATCACCTCAATTCCTTTATTTTATTAACATATATACAAAATTTATTAACCATGTGTTTCATTCTAACATTCAGCAGTCCTGAACGTACATGACAGCAATACAGGTAAACTCAAGATAATTTTACATTGAACGAAGTATGTGAAATAAATGGGTTTTTAATTTCAAATATAATCTTACTTATGATTATATAACCTGACAGATGCATTCTCAAAAACAGATAGATAAATGAATACAATAATAAGAACAGCAGCGGTATATTAAACTTCACACAAGTAAACAAATATATTTTGGAAGATGGATAGTATTAAGAAAAACAAATCTGATAAAATTGCTGCGTGCGTTTTGTACAAAAACGCTAGGACAACAACAACATACGACAATGGAATAATAATAATAACGACAACTTTTTTCCAAATAAGGAATTAATATTCAAATAAACAAACCTGAAATCGAAGCTAAAGTTAATGGATGAAGAAAAGGGAGGGGGAAGTATGAATAATAAAACAACAGAATACATGAAATATGTTTGCTAGCTACAATTTTAATAGACTTATTTTTGAGCTACACAATGAGATGATTAGTAATATTCATACCTAGTTATCTAAACAAAAGTAAGCCAAGTAGGATTTGAACATAGAAAATTACTGGTTAGAAATTGATTGCTTTAACCACACCAACAGAGTAGTAACGAAAATACGATGGTGATTCATATGAATTAATTAAAATGATAAGTGGAAGTCAAAGTGATATTTATCTTCATCTCAGTGGGAGCAAACAACTTTGGAAACAGCAGTGAGATCTAACAGTAAATTAAACCAAAAGGTGATGATTTCTGTACCGTCTATTGAACTAACAAATTCTTGGAAACTTATATCGTCAGGTTTCAAACACCATGAGGAGCGAAGCTGGCTTATCGTAGAACGGGAACAAGCTTGCGCAATGATCGTGAGCAGTGGTGGTTAACGAAAGCAAATTTGAAAAAAAAAGAGAAGCAAAAGACAGCAGTATACAAATATTCAGAATTATCAGCGAAACATGCACTAAAAATCGGAGGACCATGGGACTAATGTCAACTCTCGGTCTAGGATATTGGACCGGTGGGAAGAATACTTTAGCGGACAGTTTAACTGGCCTTCAGAAACTCTCCAATTACCTACTATCTCCAAATAATCTGTATGGCAAATTGACATAAATCCTTTAACTCTTAAAAAGGTTATAGGTGATCTACAACGAAGGAAAACGGCAAGTCTAGAGAGATTAATCCCAATGGTATTAGAAGACTGTGGTCCAGTTTTAGAGGTTTGTTCTACTGAGACATTAGCTAAGACTCGGGGAGTGAAAAAATCACTTCTAATTGGTCTGGATCGTTGATCGTCTCAGTTTACAAAATAAGACAAAACTCCTCTTATAACATTCACAGAGAAATCAGTTTAACTGACATAGTATCTAAAATGTTAACTTAACTAGTCGTCCAACCATTAACTCAGTCAGCTACAACGTAGGACCAGGCACATATATGCATCGGTCCGGGTTGCCATACCGCATCAGAACAAGATGAACACCGGATTCATAGCAGTGGTTAGGTCAAAGGTGGTAATATATAAGAGAAAGATTGCATATAGAGATATAATACAAGAAGAAAGAATTGGTTCGTAGAAAGAAAGACATGAAGCGATTTTAATCTCTTAGTTTAAGGGAGAATAGACAGTGTATACACCGACGCCATTGTGATCGATTCTGAGCCATGTCACCAAGAGTCTCCAACCATTGGTTACGAAAGTCACGCGGACCCCAACCAAGTAGTCTGCATCTACCAACATGGCTCAGACTACAAGTTAGTGACTTCAAGCACTGATGCCACGTTTTGGTTTGGCCGCCCCTAATTCTCTTCCAACCATCTCCAATACCGGATAGCATTGCACGTCGTGGTAATTGGTGTTCAGGCATACGTAACACGTGGTCCAACCATCTCAGTCGATGAAGATTCACAAACTCATCAATTGATTTACCATCATTCCCTAATACCCTGCGTCTAACCTCACTATTACTTACCCGGTGATCCCAGCAATATTTCTAAGGCATCTGTGGTCAAATACTAATAGCTTACGAGTGTCTTCTACTCTTAATGGCCATGTTTCGCTGCCGTAAATTAAAACAGAACGGACTGCCGCGCAGTATACTCGTCCTTTTATTGATAGACGGATATCTCGCCTTCGCCACAGGTGACGTAAGTTGGCAAAAGCCAAACGAGCTTTTCGAATCCGTGCTGAGATTTCGTCCGATACCAACCCATTAGGGCTGATCAGACTTCCAAGATATGTGAAGTTGTCAACGCGTTCGACTACTTCACTCCCTATATTTAGTTCAGGTGTTAACGCAGACCAGTCCTGAAGCAACAACTTGCATTTAGAGGGAGAGAAGCGCATTCCAAACATTCTGGCATTGTTGCTCAGTGCTACCAGAAGACTCTGCATTTTGTCAGCGTCTTCACCAAACAGGACTATGTCATCTGCGTATTCTAAGTCGATAAGTGGACCTCCTGGATGGAGATCAATACCCGAGAACTCAGTCGACGAGAAAGTTATTTCCATCAGTAGATCTATGATGAAGTTGAACAGAAATGGAGATATTGGACAGCCTTGACGGACACCACTTGAGGTTGCAAAATCAGATGACAGTTCTCCACAAGCTCTGACTCGACTGGTAGTGTTCGAGTAGAGAGTCGTCACAAGGTTTAATACTGTTATTTCCATAGATGGTGAGAAATATGAATAACCAATAACAAAAACAACAGATAGGAATAAGTAAACAGTGGCGTTCAATTTATACAAGAAAACTAAGAGTACCATTCGATCGTTGAAAGAGGACATTCAGTTTGCGAACCACTGACTGGAAACTAAATGTCTAAATCGATGCGCCAAAGTTTTTTGTAGTTCATAACAAGAGTTGAGAGTCCGGAACACCAAATCTCACGTGATACAGTTGACAATTAAAAAGAGTTTTACAACATTCTCAATATCATTGGACTTGGTCAGAGCGTCTAAAACCAGAGTATTTTTTCTGTTTTCAAATCACTGCTTTTTAAATATCCTTTTCCTAACAAATTTCGTAATAATTACTTAGGTATGGATATCCCACAAGAGGTCAACCACAAACCAAATAGCTCAGGAGTAACAAGTTTAACAGCGATACTGGGTGACGAGTTCGAATCGCATGAGGAGTTCCCTGAAGATTGTAGATACCTCTGGCTAACAAGTGTCAACCAGAATAACACCTAAGTTGGTAGTTGCATACAAATTTGTTTAAACCATATTACACAAATACAGTATCGACCTCTAACAGTACATAATACAGACATTGCCAGAAGAAAACCACAGAAGGAACAACATAGAAATATGAACAAGAATAATAAAATGAACTATGCATCTAATTACCAAGTTTAACTGTAATGCCAATAGAAATATATTCAACCATATAACAGTATCTGGATCGAAATTTATATAAAATGGATTGATTTGACAAAACAATGAACATGGTAAAGCTGAAACAGAAATTGAAGATAATGAGAATAAGAACTCAATAAACAAAATCGGACGTGATGATGGATTGATAAAAATAACAGAAGTAACTGCGGTAATCTAATTGATAGTTATCTTTAAGAAACAGCCTATGAGACACGATTTTTAAGCAAACAGACTCCACAGGACGGTGATGCTGACTAAATATATATATATATATATAATTACAGACATAAAAGGGTCATTGATGGTATTGAACAACAGCTATATTTAAATTCAGAGCTCTGTGATGAAATGAACATTTCGAAATATGTACCGTGTATTGTATTTAAAATCATTAAGTCTCGTAAATTACTCGTCAACTATCATATAAGAATCTAATATTGAGCAATTAGCATCAAGATTTGATCTCTCTGTCATACCACTAATGTGAAATTTAATGGTACCCGGCTAATCAGCTGTAAACAATACAAGCATTGATAAATCTTAGTTGCTACCATTTATATTAGCACAGTGATACGAAGTTAACAAAAGCGAAACAGTGATAATGGTAATAAAAGACTAAACGAGACAAATGAATTCGAAATAATGAAAACGTATATAATAATATTTTATATTTAACAATTCGAGGAAGATAAAGAGTGAATTAATTAAACAGTAATGTGATAGATTTTGAGTAAGACTGCCCAAAGTCTACAACTATGGGTTATAATTAGCTGGCGAAATTCAACTTGGACGTCTAAACCTCTCGATACTTCAATTAATGTATCTCACCTAACACATATGTACTCAGCTTTGAATAAGACTTTGTTTAGGGGCTAGTGGTGCTACCTAGTTACCTAAACCAAAGTAGATGGGATTTATTAAAGAGGTTAAATTCTCAAAAAATATTGATACACTGCTCTTTATTCCTTGATTTTATACATCTGAGTCTCCGTTTTCTGTCACTAAATTTTCTCACACGAGTCGTCAATGACTAGAGACACTATTTACTTATCACCCTTTTGATACGCTCACCGTTTATCGGTATTGACATGCTTAAATTGATATTCTTTGGCCTCCACTGTTAAATCTGCCCCATAAGATTTATCCTTTCGATTAGACAGAGATAGGAAGACTGAAAGAGAACTGTGGTATTCAATGTATTCTGATTGAGTCAAGATGCTCCCACCGTGCATTTAAAGCACATCAGAGCTGAGTTCTTATTTGTGAACAATTGGTTAGCACCTGAGTCCTTTGATCAATAACCCAATCCTTCTTTCACGCGATGAAATGGACCGATTGCGAATGCACTCGGCTGTCAACCACAAAAATGATAGTTCACATCCACATGCCTCGACTTAGACTTCGGTAACCAGCTAGCATCGTTAGCTTCTGTCGAAAAATGTGGCTTGAAGCTGATTACACAAAGCTTTAATTATTTACTGAATTAAAATAAACACAGATGACATTATAAAACCACACAATGTAGTAAAACTGTGGCAACTTGAAATGATGCACAGATGTAATTGGTTATACATTCTTCTCATAATTAACTGATTAACTAAACTTAGTAAAACCGTTTATTCGAATATACAATTATTCTTTAAATGATACAAATATCACAATGACAAATAAAGGGACTAGAATCATCCACAGAATTGGTTAAATTGCCTGTGAACTGTTATGTTAGGATACGATAGTAATTGTGTGTAACATAAAAGAGAAGAGCTTTCATCAGAGTGGCGCAGAAAATCGACAAAACAGATCCGAAATTCATAATAGCAAAATGTAACAAGTTCAAAATTTGAATGAAAAGCGTAATTCGTATAAATATGTAGCCATAATCAGTCTATCCACTCAACAGAAGCCGACTTTTCAAATTGAAATCAGACATAAGTTTATCAACCAACTGAATTCTCACAAGTCATAACAATTCTGATTCTACGTTTACAAGAAGAAAGGTCTCACAATGAGAACAAATTCTTTGCACTACTACTAGTTTGGAATATAGCGATCCATGTTTCCAACTCCAACCAATTTGCGATATATAGTGAAAAGGAGTAAACGGGTTCGGTTTTAGTGAGCATTGTCTGAGAATACGGGAGCGATTAAAAAAAATCAAATGGTGGCTATTAAAAATTCTTTTCGACTGATCCAGGTCGAATTTTTGGGAATTATTACATTTTCCATCAATACCCAGTCGATAATTTGAAAGCAAAACACATCTGTACAACAATAACATGAAAACTTACATTGATTTGATGAACTTGAGCTTGGTGTATCATCTACCCAATAATGATTTTTAAATTCAATGGTAAGAAATGATGATGTATCAGGTAGATTATGTAAAAATTTATCTGATCCAATGAAAATATTCTTATCAACTGGAATTTCTGCTTTTATACGTGCATTATTGTTATTATCGCGAAATGTTTTATTCATCTGTGAAGATTTTGAAAACAATGTAGATGGATCACTCTGTTTCAACACGGAATTCGGATAAGATACACATGATACAGTGATGTCAACTAATCGTAGAATACCAACACTTTGTAAAATTGATGTATTCACTGTCTGCAATAAACCACAATCCAATATAACAAATTGATTATCAGTAGAAACAGTTGGAGAATTTGTACTGAATACTCTACGACCACCATAGGTAAAATGAATAGGATTAATACCTCTTAACCAATTATCACGTGCACTGTAGAATTCTCGACAACCAGGCCAAGGTAATTCTGGTGAAACTTTAAGGCATAAACAAAGACGATTCTGAGTAAAATATTTCGAAATAGTCTAAATTGCAATAGGATACCTGTCCGTGAAATCTTAACACATTTGCTTCTCAATGTATGCAATATCTATCGGTTTACCGTTCATTTAGCGAGTGAATGCAAGAATTAAGAAAGTAATTTTCATAGGAGAATTAATTTTAAACTCCAACTTGCGCTTTATTTGCATTTTTCATCCGGCAAGTTGGGATGCACTACAGTGTCCTGTTCATAGAAAGTATATGCAGATAGCTTTAGATGATTGGTATTAAATCTCCGGTTAAATTTCTTACTTTTACACCGCAGTACTGACTTACAAAATGAATGTAGAAGTGCTTTAAAACGCTAGATATTGTACTTTTATTGAATGTTGAAAATAATATACTATACTATAATATACTAGATTTTGTATAAGGAAATAAATAGTTAATAAAGTACTTACCAATCAAATGTTTGCTATTGAATTGAGATCATGAACCGATTGATGTTAGACCACCACCTTTGGAAACCTGGACGGCCGTTTCGTCCTACTGTGGGACTCCTCAGTAGTGCGCATCCACGACCCCGCTCGCGGGATTCGAACCCAGGGCCTCCGGCCTCGCGCGCGAACGCTTAGCCAACTGGACCACTAAGCCGGCATCCAATGGTGATAGTGTCTAACGTCAACCAATCCACGAAATCGCGCGACCAACTTCCGTTGTACTGAGGTAGATACTTGTCTCTATCCGGCATGGATTAGCTCCACTGGTCACGACTCGGTTCATGATCTCAATCAAAAACTTAATAATCTCCACAAACCCTATACTAGTTTGCTATTTAATTGGTCGAGTTAATAACTAGTTCAGTTAGTTGAAATATCTCATAGTTCAGTAAACAATTTTCCATAACCTCCATTTTATCTTCCGATTTCAAAGTTATTAATACACAGAGCCGAGTTATGATTGGATTAGGTAGTGTTAAAAGTTGAAAAGGATGGAGACGGATTTTTATTCAAATACGTAGCCAATATGTCATTCGCAAGGTTGAAAGATTATGCAAGAACTAAGGCAGTAAATTCTTAATTTTGCATATACTTAAACTTCAACTGAAGTGAAATTGACTACGATGAATATATGACATTTGCTTTATCATGTACGCGCCTTAATACTGACTAATGTGTTGTCATAATTATGAATTCATAAGCATTGAGTTGGAAGATGGAGTTATTGGAAACAATTGGAAAAATATACTTTGTTTTTAAATATTCTGTTATGTCCCGACAAGAATAATAAATGGTAACTTTTGGGATCTATTGATGGACCAATACTAAACGTATATTTTTTATCGTATAGTTGTTAAATAACCTAACTATTCATATTCATATTCCTCCTATTACAAGCTTTATTTTGACCCATAAAATATTATTATACGTTTTACCATTCTTGAGTTATACCCAGTATATTAATTACTACCTCCCCCATTCACAGCCACATCTGGCTAATTCTTGTACAAATGTTGTTTCATATTTTATTGGTACGTTGTGGTCTGTTTGATTAGCATATAAACTCAGTATGTTTGAAATATAATGATTCATATGGCAGAGGCTGAGACTGGTGCTCTGGACCCAACTGGCTGGGTTAGGCGGGAGGCAGGACCAATCAGGACTATTGGCTGCTCGCACGTGTTTTACGCGTCATGGATCCGATCGATAAGTCACTGCACATTAATCATCGGTCACAAGTCATAATATATTCTATGAGAATTTTTAAGTTACATTTATTTGTTACCGTAATTCAGGTTTGTGTACTCTCTGTTGTGATACACTTGTGTGTGAGTACGACAGCTAATTAACTGTTAAATGAAATTTTGAGTCTAAAATCAAAAGGTTGAACATCGACTAAGATTTTGCTGGACATTAGCTAGTCTAAGAGTTGGTTGGAAATTTATAAAATCAAGGCAATGATAATAAAATAATTTATAGCTTACAGGTGAAAGCTGTTGATATTATAAAATTGATTATTATAGTCTGAGATTATTGAGATAACAGTTGTCGACTTATTCGTACATCTTCATCCTGTGTTATCACAGTAGACAGTGATCTACCTACATATAAATTCTATCACATTTTATTTATTATATATTAATTACTTCCAAATTATGTTAGCTTACTCTAATATCCTTACTACTTTAATTCTTATACTATTACTGATATTGCCATTTTTGTGACTTTTTTACATTTATTGTTAACCATTCACCAAGTACAGACTAATGTACTCGACTTCGGGTCACACTCTAGGTGTGTAAGAGAAAATTGTAATATCCGACTGCCTAAACGGAATTAAGTGAGATGAGACTCAAACCTGTGACCTGTCGGTTGAAGACCAAATGTATTGACCAACAAGCCATTGTTTCACACTCTCATGCTAATGTAGCGTGGTAACAGTTAGACCAACGTTTTATATTTTAAAAGTTGGGGATCATATAGTTGTAAGAAGATTTTTCCCCGAACATTCAAATCTCTCATATGCATAGCAACATCACCGCCTGGAGTCCCTCCGGGGGCTACTGCCGGTCCGAAACCGGATAAAGGAGGAGAGTTGGGCATGCGGTTAGCGACCACACCCTGTAGAAAAATAACTCGCTAAAAAATGCTAACCAGAAAAAATTATTCGAACCTTTTAAGCTCTGCCCTGGGAGTCAGAAGGTTTTCATTTATAAGAGTTATGACGCCTCATGATGAAAGCCGAGTTCCTTCGGAAGTCACGAGGCCTATGCCCCTTCTGACAACCAGAGCAACCATTTGTTTAGGTACATGGAATGCCCGTACATTGAGGGAGACTGGGAGAGTCTTCCAAATTGCTGCAGAAATGAGGAGATACAACCTAGAGGTGCTTGGGATCAGTGAAACACATTGGACGCAAGTTGGACAACAACGAATAGCTTCAGGGGAGCTTCTGTTATACTCTGACCATGAAGAAGAAAATGCCCCACATACACACAGAGTTGCATTGATGCTGTCCAAACAAGTACAAAATGCACTTATAGGATGGGAATCTCATGGACCAAGGATCATCAAAGCCTCCTTCAAAACAAAGAAGGAGAGAATTACAATGGACGTCATCCAATGCTATGCCCCTACCAACGACTACAATAAAGACGTTAAAGATCAATTCTACAATAGGCTGTAGTCAATCATCGAGAAGTGACCAACAAAGAACCTGACCATTCTGATGGGAGATTTCAATGCCAAGGTTGGAATGGACAACACTGGATATGAAGACATCATGAGACGATACGGACTGGGAGAAAGGAACGAAAATGGTGAGAGATTTGCAAACCTATGTGCCTTCAATAAACTGGTCATAGACTGCACTATATTCCCACACAAACGCATACACAAAGCACATGGACTTCACCGGATCACACTACACAGAACCAAATCGACCACATCTGCATCAACAAAAAGTTCAGGAGGACGATGGAGGACGTGCGAACCAAGAGAGGAGCTTATATAGCATCAGATCATCACTTGCTGGTCGCCAAGATGAAATTGAAACTCAAGAAGCACCGGACAATCGGGCGGACAATATCACAAAAGTTCAATACGTCCTTTCTTCAGGATACTAACAAACTCAACAAATTCAAGATAGTCCTCAGCAACAAGTTCCAGGCCTTTCATGATCTACTCAACGGAGAAGGAACTATTATGGAGAGCAACTGGAAAGGCATCAAAGAGGCAATCACTTCAACATGTCATGAGGTTCTAGGCCATAAGAACACCACCACAAGGAATGGATCACTGTTGATACACTGGATAAGATTCAAGAAAGGAGGGACAGAAAGACAGCAATCAATACAAGCCGAACAAGAGCAGAAGAAGCCGAGGCACAAGCTGAATACACAGAAGTAAACAAACAATTTAAGAGGAGCATCAGAACCGACAAACGTAAATATGTGGAAGATCTGACAACGACGGTGGAAAAGGCTGCAAGAGAAGGAAACATGAAACAACTGTATGACACGACAAAGAAACTCTCTGGAAATCGCCGCAAACCAGAACGACCAGTGAAAAGCAAGGAAGGCAAGGTAATCACCAACATTGGAGAACAGCAAAACAGGTGGGTAGAACACTTCAAAGAACTCTTGAATCGACCAGCCCCACTGAACCCAACCAACATCGAAGCAGCACCCACGGACCTCCCAATCAATGTTGGCCCACCAACAATTGAAGAAATAAGCATGGCCACCAGACAAATCAAGAGTGGCAAAGCAGCAGGACCAGACAACATTCCAGCAGAGGCACCAAAAGCAGACGTACCGGTAACTGCAAGGATACTCCACATTCTCTTTAATAAGATTTGGGATGAGGAACGAGTACGAAAAGACTGGAAAGAAGGACTCCTGATCAAAATACCAAAGAAAGGTGATCTCAGCAACTGTGATAACTACAGAGGCATCACTCTTCTCTCAATAACAGGAAAACTGTTCAACAGGGTATTGTTAAACAGGATCAAGGACTGCGTAGACGCCCAACTTCGTGACCGACAGGCTAAATTCCGTAAGGATAGATCGTGTACAGACCAAATAGCAACTCTACGGATCATTGTGGAACAATCAGTTGAATGGAATTCATCACTCTACATCAACTTCATTTGACAGCGTGGACAGAACAACAATATGGAAGCTTCTTCGACACTACGGCGTGCCTCAGAAGATAGTCAATATCATATGGAATTCCTATGACGGATTAAACTGCAAAATCGTGCATGGAGGACAGTTGACAAACTCGTTCGAAGTAAAGACCGGTCAGGCAAAGTTGCTTACTCTCACCCTTTCTCTTTCTCCTGGTGATCGACTGGATCATGAAGACGTCAACATCTGAAGGGAAGAACGGGATACAGTGGACATCTAGGATACAGCTGGACGATCTAGACTTCGCAGATGAAATGGCCTTCCTATAGCAAACGTAACAACAAATGCAGAAGACTAACAGTGTAGCAGCAGCCTCAGCAGCAGTAGGTCTCAATATACACAAAGGGAAAAGCAATATTCTCCGATACAACTCAGCATGCACCAATCCAGTCACGATTGACGGAGATGATTTGGAAGATGTAAAAACCTTTACATATCTGGGCAGCATCATTGATGAACAGGGTGGATCTAATGCAGATGTGAAGGCGAGGATAGGAAAAGCAAGAGCAGCATATTTACAACGGAAGAACATCTGGAACTCAAAACAACTCTTAACCAAAACCAAGGTCAGAAATGTCAAGACAGTCCTACTGTATGGGGCGGAAACCTGGAGAACTACGAAAGCCATCATCCAGAAGACGCAAGTGTTTATGAACAGTTGTCTACAGAAAATACTTCGGATCCGTTGGCCGGACACTATCAGCAACAATCTACAGTGGGAGAGAACAAACCAGATACCAGCGGAGGAAGAAATTAGGAAGAAGCGCTGGAAGTGGATAGGACACACAACGAGGAAAGCATCCAACTGTATCACAAGACAAGCCCCCACATGGAATCCTCGAGGCCAAAGGAAAAGAGGAAGACCAAAGAACACATTACGCCGGGAAATGGAGATAGACATGAGAAAAATAAACAAGAATTGGATGGAACTAGAAAAGAAGGCCCAGAACAGAGTGAGTTGGAGAATGCTGGTCGGTGGCCTATGCTCTATTAGGAGTAACAGGCGTAAGTAAGTAATCACCGGTTTTTTCCTTATTTTACAGATATTCATTCAGTAAAACATTGAGAAGTATGAAGCTACTAATGGAATATTACTAAGCCAGATTATAAATTATTCTCTCCCTTTCTCTCAATCTATCCACAAAAACAATGCATTGTTATTATGTTAACCTCATCGAAAAATCACGAAACAAGATATAATTTTAACGAAACACAAAAATAGGTAATTTTAAGGCATAGTGTAATATAAAAATAAAAAACACAAAGAAAATGAACGTACAATCTAAATGATATGGATACCAATCTACAGATAATGTGGTTAAATTAACTCGCATTGATCCATTCGGCACAATGTTTGGATTGAGTCGAATTTCTAAGAAGAAAGTAAAATGGATGAAAATCTGGCTAATTTATGATAAATAAAAAATGAACGAATAATAACAGTTTGAAGTATTAAAAATCATGATTCTGGAGAAGCAATATAATTAAATTTTATAGGAATGGTAAAGGATGGTTTGTTAAACTTGGGAAGACATTTGTACTTCGATGACGAGATTAACAATTTAGTGGTAGATGGTTCGCACCAATCTATAGAAAAACCTTGAATATAAGTTTTATCCTGGTTGGAGCATGTACGCAAGGCATACCTGTAATCTTGACGAGATTGACGCTTCCGTGAGATTTGGAAGCTTTGTGATCTAGTGCTCTTGTAAGGCACGTTACCAATGAGCTATTCAGGTTGTAACTGACTACCTCGTGTGGTACTAATATATTTATGCATTGTTCGAATAGTCTCAACTGAAATGAAACTTAGATCAAGGGCTTCCCACAGACTACCTTTAACTATGAACATCAAAACAGAGTCCACATGATATCGTATCAATAAAAATAGAGGTACATGCCATTTTGATTTCCAGAATCTGACTACTGTTGAGGATTGAACAAACACAACATTAGTTAATAATTAGTAGTCAACTAGGATCATCATTCACACTTCCAACACTGTAATTTGTTCCATTATGCTCCCATCAAATACCTGCACATGCATACAGAATAAGAGGAAATGTTCAGTCATATCCACGCTTTTGAATTTCTTAAGATATATCCGGTCAAGTTTATATACGACTAGCTAGTTAGTATAGAATGACATATCTGGTTTGTGATCTAAACGGCTGCACTTTGAGTGCCTGGTTTCACATGATTTGGTCAACATTTTACAAATAAAAACTGGAAAATACCAAATGATTCATTGTGAAGCTTAGAAATAAGATTGTCTTTCTGATACCAGTCAGTCGGTCAGTTAGTAACAACGAATAACTTCGTACGTACGTACATCAGTTCGAGTTGCCACGCCACATTAGCACAGAGATGCAGTTGTCGATTCAAATCCCGTAGTGGTAGCGGTAGTTAGAGTATAAGCAGTAATCGGAAACATTAGGGTTTGAAGATGTTATTCGACGAGTATAATACAGCGAAATAAATTTGGAAAGAGAAAAAAGAAAGGGACATGAAGAATTCAGAAGATTAGAATTCGGGAGAACACAAAGTGGATGCACCTGTGCCATTGCAAACGATTTTGAGTCATGTCATTCAGGGTCTCTAACCATCGGTTGCTATCATCCCGTGGATCCCGACCAGGTGGTCTACACCTACCAACATGGCTCATTATTTTCTGATACCAACTAATAGGTTTACATATGGAATAAAAAATCCCTGTGGGAATTGCATTTATTCTGTTAGGAATACCGCAAAAATTTTGTTTTCTAAGTTTTACAATTTAAATTCCTAATTTTCCACGTCAAGACTTCCCAAAAGCGCTGTCTTGCAATAACGTTCGTTCAGTCTATTATTATATTGTTTCGTTACATGTTTTTTAAGGTTATTTATGAACAAGTTGCATATACAAACGAGCTGCTTAACCTTTATGTGGAAATAGTACACAATTCTTTCACAAAATAATACCCTATCGTTTCGTACTATATTCTTTACTAGGGGTCGAGATTAGTTGAAATTGAGCCTTTCAAATAGAGTTAGGTCAAGCCTCATAACTGCAAAAAATATCAGGGTAAACTTGCGGTGTAACACCAGAGATAATAAATGAAAACTAAGATTTCAAAATAAACAAAACAATAGGCAAAATTGAGAATAAATAATAATTATCATAATTATGCGTCAAAAATTATGGTTATGCAAAAACTTAACAAATACTAATTACCAAAGTTCAATATTCAAATACATGGTTGTGCATTCAACTTTGAGCTACACTGTTTGTGAAGAGGACTGCAGCTCTGTACGACTACCAAAAACAAGTAAAAACAGGTAACACTTAAAACCTTTATAAAACAGGTCACAAGTCAAATTTCTTAACCCAATTCTATACAGGTGGTACACACACCGTGTTTTCACGTAATGACAAGCAGTTAAAGGAGCAACTTACAACTCATTTACTAGAAATTAATTTACTAACTTTCTTTAGTTTCATCACAAAAGTTCAATTCTGTCCGATTAACAATCAAATGATAGGATGTTTCCAAAACATCATATTGATGAAACATATTCACAGCATTTGCATAATCCCATGTACATTTGGTATTTCGTACTACTACCGTGGGGTAAATATTACTATTAGTAGTATAGTTAGTATTACTACCATTATTATTGTTACTGTAACTATTATTCACCAAAGACTGAGTTTCTGATGATGAAACCAAAGGGACGGTTTGTCGCTAAATTAAAAGAAACAAGTAAAAAGGTCAAAAAGTTTAACGACACTACTTATTATAACGATAAGAATTCATTAGACCAATAAGTTTCTCAATAAAATACCTGTACTAGTTAACAACACTGTCAGTCAGCGTAGGACCAGGCACATATATGCATCGGTCCGGGTTGCCATACCGCATCAGAACAAGATGAACACCGGATTCATAGCAGTGGTTAGGTCAAAGGTGGTAATATATAAGAGAAAGATTGCATATAGAGATATAATACAAGAAGAAAGAATTGGTTCGTAGAAAGAAAGATATGAAGCGATTTTAATCTCTTAGTTTAAGGGAAGACAGACAGTGTATACACCGACGCCATTGTGATCGATTCTGAGCCATGTCACCAAGAGTCTCCAACCATTGGTTACGAAAGTCACGCGGACCCCAACCAAGTAGTCTGCATCTACCAACATGGCTCAGACTAGAAGTTAGTGACTTCAAGCACTGATGCCACGTTTTGGTTTGGCCGCCCCTAACTTTCTTCCAACCATCTCCAATACCGGATAGCATTGCACGTCGTGGTAATCGGTGTTCAGGCATACGTAACACGTGGCCCAACCATCTCAGTCGATGAAGATTCATAACCTCATCAACTGATTTACCATCATTCCCTAATACCCTGCGTCTAACCTCACTATTACTTACCCGGTGATCCCAGCAATATTTCTAAGGCATCTGTGGTCAAATACTAATAGCTTACGAGTGTCTTCTACTCTTAATGGCCATGTTTCGCTGCCGTAAATTAAAACAGAACGGACTGCCGCGCAGTATACTCGTCCTTTTATTGATAGACGGATATCTCGCCTTCGCCAAGGTGACGTAAGTTGGCAAAAGCCAAACGAGCTTTTCGAATCCGTGCTGAGATTTCGTCCGACACCAACCCATTAGGGCTGATCAGACTTCCAAGATAAGTGAAGTTGTCAACGCGTTCGACTACTTCACTCCCTATCCTTAGTTCAGGTGTTGACGCAGACCAGTCCTGAAGCAACAACTTGCATTTAGAGGGAGAGAAGCGCATTCCAAACATTCTGGCATTGTTGCTTAGTGCTACCAGAAGACTCTGCATTTTGTCAGCGTCTTCACCAAACAGGACTATGTCATCTGCGTATTCTAAGTCGATAAGTGGACCTCCTGGATGGAGATCAATACCCGAGAATTCAGTCGACGAGAAAGTTATTTCCATCAGTAGATCTATGATGAAGTTAAACAAAAATGGAGAAAGTGGACAGCCTTGACGGACACCACTTGAGGTTGCAAAAGTAGATGACAGTTCGCCATAAGCTCTGACTCGACTAGTAGTGTTCGAGTAAAGAGCCTTCACAAGGTTTATGTACTTCTGAGGTACGCCTTTCAATGACAGACACTGCCACAGAATCTCGCGGTCTACCGAGTCAAATGCTGCTTTTAAGTCAAGAAAGACCACCATTGTCGGACGCCGATAAGTATGCCTGTGTTCTAGAATCTGACGAATGGTGAATATGTGGTCGATGCAGCCACGACCAGGTCTGAAGCCAGCTTGATTCTCTCGTGTTTGCAGTTCACGAGTCTTAGTTAGGCGTCTGATAATTATCGAGGCTAGTATTTTAGATATTATATTAGTTAAACTAATCCCTCTGTGGTTGTCACAGGATGATTTTGACCCTTTCTTATATATTGGGACGATAAGTGATTGTGACCAGTCAGATGGGATAACGTCTAACTCCCAGATTTTAGCTAAAATATTAGTCAACCTAATCGCTAAAATTGGACCACCATCCTTAAAGACTTCTGGAGCCAGTCCATCTGGACCAGCTGCCCTTCCTCGTTTCAGATTAACTATAGCCTTTTGAACTTCAGCAAGAGTTGGGGGACCTACTTCAATGTTCCATTCACACTGTCTGGGAATGGAGGGTAGTTGTAGAGTAGCTGAAGGCCAGCTGAACTGTTCTCTGAAATGTTCCGCCCATCGTTCTAAACGTCTGGACTGGGAGCAGATGAGGGTATCGTCTTTTTCCGAAATAATCTCACTTACACTTGACTTATTAATTCCAGTTTCTTTTATTAGTCTGTAAAGCTGTCTTGTGTTCCCTATAGTCGCCGCCTTTTCCATCTCTTTTGCTTTCGTTGCCCACCACTGCTCACGGTCGTTTCTTAGACTTTTTCTTAACCTAGATCTGATTTGTTGTCGCTCTTCATCATGTTCAGAACCTGATGGGACGAGTTTGCGAGAATCCATCAGTGTGATAGACCTTGAAGAAATCCACTGGTTCTTTGTAACTCTGTGGTTTAAGTCACTAATAGATGTCACTGCTGTTTCCACAGCTGCTTGTATGCTTTCCAAGCAACATCTGGGTCAGCCTCGTTTTCAAAACTACCTAAGTGTGACCTCAGTTGTTCCTGGAACCTACTTTTGGTTTTCTCACTACTCAACTCAGTTCTAATGGGTCTTTTTAATGTGGCTTTTTTGCGTCCAGTGAGGCGCAAGCAGATGCGTGCCCGTATTAGGGCATGGTCGGAGTCCAAGCAGGTACTCCAGAATGAGCGACAATCTTCTACCGACCCTCTCCAACGATGACTGATGGCAATATGGTCTATTTGAGTCCATCGTTGGTTTGGTGTAGGGGGTCGCCATGTTAGACGATGTCTCTCCTTATGCTTAAAATTTGTGTTTGCTAAAAATAAACGATTGTCTGAGCACAGTTGCAGCAGACGGTCACCATTATCTGTTCGCTGTGCCGGAATGCTAAAATATCCACCTAAATGCCTTTCTGTTTGGTTTAAACTACCTATCTGAGCATTAAAGTCACCTGCTACGAGTACTATGTCTGAGCGTTTAGCTTTCTGAAGAAGTTCGGACAGCTTTCTGTAAAATTCATCTTTCACTTCATCTGAGCTGCAGTCAGTGGGAGCGTAGGCAGAAACGACAAAAAGGCAACGACGTGTGTCCCTATCCTTCCGAGTTCTTACCGAGCCGTTTAGCCGAACAGCACATAGACGACTGTTGACGGGGATCCACTCTAGCAGTGCTTGTTCCGCCCTCATGCTTAGTGCTATGCCTACACCTGCCAGTCCACGAGAACTGGCCATCGGGTCACCAGATACACGGAGGGTGTATCTCGTTGGCTCTCCGTTTTGCCGAGGTGAGGTCAAGTGAATGACCACACTGGGATCCTGTATGCGTGTTTCGGAGACACAGCATACATCAATGGAAAGAGACTCTAGGGTTTTAGCCAAGGAAGCCTGCTGACCGATTTGACATAGGGTGCGTACGTTGAAGGCTCCAATGTGTAGTTTGGAGCGAGGTTTCAGTAGACCTGGGACAGTGTTTTGAGCACTAGAATCGTTGGCTATGGTGACACTTGAGGAGGAAGCCGAAGGAGGAAGTTTAGGGTTGAAAGTCGATGTAGGAGGAATAATAGGAATTGAAGAGGAAGGAAGTGGTCTTGAGTGCTGTTAGAGGTATGAGGGCGGTTATCACTTCCCGGTTGCCCACACCGTGGAAGGGTTCTTCTGGAGGTACCTGAAAAGGAAATTGGATTAGAGGCGGTCTCAGTGACCTGAGAGCGTGACCGCAGTGCCCAAGGGACAACTGCTTGAGGTCGGTCGCGCACGGCCTTTTCGTGAGAGGTTTGTGACGTGTTAGCTCCGTTCTTCAAAGGGCCTTACCGCCGGAGACGGAAATCCGTGAGGTAAGGTGAGGTGTGCATTTTTAGGGTCGACCTTTTCTAACCCCACCCCTCCTTGTGGGAAGGCAGCATCGCTGTCATGCTGGTTGTCTGAAGGAAACACCTTACTGCTGTCACACCTCTGTACAGTCAGCAGTACGACTTCGCCTTCGGACCTTGGGTTTGTTGCTTTTAGTCTTACCGCTCTTCAACCGACCTGTCTGACATGGTAGGACCTTGAGGAACGGTTGTTCCAGCCAGTATAGCTCGGTTGCTTCATCACGATAGGCAAGCCCGACCACCACGTCAAGGTAGCAACAACCGTCGGGTAATAACACTGTGGTGTATGCCACTTATGTCGACAGACATAAGTGGTATGTAACATCAGTCAGAAGTGAAATGCACGACAACAGAAAGCTAAGAAGATCGAATTAAAGAAAACAGAAAGGGAAATAGGAAGGAATTGTGAATTGGGACAATCATACAGAATGTGAAGAACAGTTGATTGGATATTGCAAATGAAGTATTTTATGTATGGTTCTTATATTTTACCAAGATACTTTGTAACTTTGTGTTAAAATACATTGGTTGTCCCCACCTGTATTCTCGTTCATTAATTATTTGCAAACTTTTCATCATAATAACTTGATTCGAAATCTAATTACATGACCTATCTAATTTACAAATAACTCAATTTTGAAGTACTTATTTAGTAACACATGCAAACGTTGACCATTTTTAACATATAACATTCTCAAATTTATTGACAACTGCCTTATTTTGGTGTTTATAAAATATCATAATTATGGACTTATAACTGTAGAGTCTGATGATGAAGTTATTAAAAACAACTGTTCGCTCTAATATTCTTTATTTTTGAATACCCTATTGAGATTTTTAAACTGCTAATTATAGCTATTTTACGTATTTTTTTCCTCTTGTTCAATGCAGTACTGTGATACAAAAAAAGAAATAAACACAATGTCAATCCTTATTACGTTAACATTTGTTTTAATATTTATCACTTATCTTTTGATTACTTAGCAGAAGGTTAATTTCATACAATTGGTTCCCTTTATGAGTTTGAATAAAGGCAAAACAGAAACCGAAACAAACGGTTAATAGTTACCATTATTGTTATATTTGTGCGGAAATCGATAAATGTGGAGAGAAACAACTTTAGTTGTTGGATGTATTGTTATCTTAATGGTTGAAAAAAGTAGGCTTTCAGCTAATAGTTAGCAAGATGAAATACAGTTACAGCTTAAGTAATCATATTGTAATATTAAATTGCAAAGAAAAATAGTTGTATACATA